GAAATGTATTTGATATAAATCCAACACCAAGAACAGCCATGTCATCTTGAAAGGTAATAAAAATAGAATAGAGGCAACAACAGGTTTAATAATTGCACAGTATGCTAACGTTACATGACACATGAACAACGAACTGAGAACGTGCCTGGTATGTTAACATGACATATTAAGAGTTATTCAGGTAACTATAGTATAAATAACATGCTAACAAGTTTCCCAAACCATCCGTGTCTCCCCAAGTCACTAAATCGAATGAAATCTTCGTCCTCGATGTCGCTTTTAAACAACTCTGCTAACTCCGAAGGTAGAATAACACAGGCCTAGAGGGCCCTCTTGCGGTCTAGTGTGAAAATAACATGTGATATGATATAATGATGTGTTAATTTCCACACTTATACATAAGTACAAGTCGCACCCCCGGCCAAACTACAACAAAAACTGCGACCTATAGTCTGGGAAATACAGTACTCGGTTTGGTGCACTGTATACTTATATGCCTCTTGGTTAGGTCATTCTTGTAAGAGACAAGAAACAAATTGTCCCTGTAGTGAAGGGGTGTCAAATTCCAGTCCTCAAGTGCCGGTGTCCTGCAACTTTTAGATGTGTCCCTTGTCCTTCACGTTTGAATGAAATGACTGAGGTGCCTCACTAGTTTGCAGTCAAGCTTTAGAGAGCTTTGCTAATGAGCCAATAGCAGAGCCAGTTTCCCTAAAACAGAGAAGTCTTAAAGTTGCAGGACTGGCGCTTGAGTCCACTGCCCGAATACAATAATCTAAGGTGTGAGAATTTGTGTCCATGCCTGTGTTGCTGTGAGTCAAGAAATATCCAGGTCTAACTTCTGCTAAACGTGTCTCTACTACAAAGTACTGACTCAGGCACTGTACACTTTCTAGATTTTAATTTGTCTAAAGTTTTAAAACTATTTATTCTTTCCTCCCGTTCTCCGATACATGTGCTACTTTGTCTTTCACATTCTGTCCCTGTGAGTTTTATTATCATATTATGTGAAAGTGAATACTTTAGCAATAAACTTCACTCGACAACACTGAACTCCTATGTTCTGTCACACTGCCGTCCTCTGTTGACGCCTGCCACTGTTTTCCCACATTGACTCGGAGTAAGAAGATTAACTGAGGGAGACGAAACCAGCGCAGCTCTGCCAGCCAACACACGATCTCTCTCCGTTCCACGACTTCCTCCCCAGTCTTTTCTCCCGCCTCCATCAAGCTCAATTTTCAGCCTCTTTAATTACACACAAAACTCCAGTCAATCTCGGTTAAAAAGCCGTGCTTCCAAAATGAAAAGAGAGGTGCTTCAACTGTATGTGAGAAAGAGATGAAGGAAAAGTTAGAAAGGTTAGTCGATATTCATCTATTGCAAAGCTAACTGCATTTGATTTGGCAAATAAGCTTAAATGAGCTTCAACAACCTTCATCGCTAACATGTGTGTGGACTCCGAGTACGTGAGAGGGGTCGTAAAGCTCCGGCAAAGAAATTCCTCCCACGTAGATGAAACCAGCGGCTGAACAAACAGCTACTGGAGCTTGGACTTTAATAAGAGGTGTTAAAAGCAGATGGCGAAACCTCAAATGGAGGACATGACTCAAACTTCACAGCCCATAAATGAAAATTTACATTCATTTTGATTCATGAATTTTTCTTTTTCATTTCTAACTCAAGTTGTTTGAAATTCCAACAGCAACTTTGATACCGATGCCTAAACTTATATTTGAGCATAAGAACTAGAATCAAAACAATAAATGCATGTTATAGGTCACATTGCTTTACCTTTTAATGTAAATTATTTCTACTATTTAGGAACAATGGAAAAAATGTAATTTTTTTTTGTTTTACATAAAAATATGTGATGTTTTTTTTTTTAATGTATATTAAATTTTACCTTCAGAATCTGATAGAGCCATACCTAAGTGTCAAGGTGTTAGTTCGGTCTGTGGATTTTCATCACCATAATTGATAATGCCAAATATAATTTTTTAAGATTTTATCCTCTATGTTTTTCCAAAGATTCATGGCAAAAGTTGTGCATTATTTTAATTGCAGCATGTGCAAAGATTCTCTTCCCTGCAGTCTGTAGATCTGTGTGTGTGTCTGCGAGTGTGTGCCTGTAAGTCAGCTGAGTTCAGCTTTGGGTGCATTACTATTTCATATGAGACCTAGTGGAAAAAACACCTTAATTGTTTTTTTAAATAAATAAAGCTCTTTAAAGTTTACAAAGACCTAAGGGAGTCAAAATATCGTGCTAAAAGTTAAGCCGTAATGAATGAAGATTTGGATGTCCTGTAAGTTTTGCTGCAAACTGCAACAGTGAAAGAGTTTAACCAAGGTTAAGTGAGAACTCTGTCTCCTACGTTTTCATTGAAGGTTACACTAATTAGCTGCTTGCTTGTTTTCATGTGTTGATCTGTCTGCTTGTGCAAAAGCCAAATGTTAAATGTCTGGATCCCATTTTTATCACGTTAAGATAAAAAGGATGCCTAAATAGGGCAACAAATATTCTCCTTTTGAAACTGAACTTTCTATTTGTCACTAATTCAGTCCTGCCGTATTTAGAATTTTAAACACTCACACTTGTTGATTTTACATATAAAATCCATACTTTAAATCACATCGACTGAGTCTTTAATACTTTTGGTCCCATTGTAATGATATTTGAATGTTTTTTTTTTTTTTTTTTATCTAAGTGTGTTGGGAAAAGTGTGCCTGGCTAATGTTCTGCTGAGAGTCGGCCAGATGTGAGGATCTTTCCCACTCTCATATTAAATCATTAAATATTAAACTGACACTTACAGACTACAGACCGAGTGAAGCAGGTGGGCCGACTCTCTTTAAAAATAACAAAACCCAACCGCCACCTCGCTTACACTCACTGTAGAAGATCAAATTTAAAAGCCAACAATGTAATTGGAACTTTTCTAGCTATTTTTATTTTGAAACAAATATAACCTAAAAGATCTGTTCAGGTTTCCCTTCTGTATATAGCTCCATCCATCTTTCTATAAGCTCAGGCAAGCTTCCTTATTCCTTCTAGGGGAAGTGAAAAAGCTTCTCCTCACAGCATTATGCTGCCACCACCATGCTTAACAGTGGAGATAATGGAGCCTAAGGACGTTGTAAAATTATCAGAAAAACATGTGCATAATTGTCTTTCCACTTTACAATTTTCACATAAAGTCTTCGGTGTTCGGTGGTAGAATACCACCGAACACTATTTGCAATGCTTCGTATGGCTGATTTTCTTTTAACGCAACTAAATCCAACATCCATCCCAGCCTTTTGAAAGGACACGTTATTAAAAATTAAACAGTGATCAAAGTAAGAAAAAGCCCTCATCCATAAATAAGCAGCTTTGATCACTGCCAGCAGAGATCATGTCAAACGCAAATGACAATTTAATAAACCAAAAGACTTTTTGCATTAACCGGATCACTTAAACTCATCACATGACATTGCTTCTTTCATCAGCGCAATCAAAACTGAATTGTTCTGCAACATGCATTGAGATTTAATGTGAAAAATACATATAAACATGTGGGATATCAATTCCATAAACAAATGTTAAAGAGGTGGATTTAGTCTCTCTCCATCTGAAGGTTTCAATTCGTATTCCTATACGTATAGCAGTCTTTAACGAACCAATTTAACTGAGAGAAAAAGAAAAAGAGAGGAGAAAATGTTGGATGTACTTAATGATTCATCAAGGCATAGCTGCCAATCACAAGGAATCCCACATATTTCTTTTCCGCTTGTTTATTCAGTCTGATCTGGGAGGCCTGTCATTTCTGAAGCATGTTAGCCGTGTGAGTCACACGTAAATTACAGAACCGTCCACGGCTTCCTGTTTAGCTTTTGGTTGAAAGAAATAACCTAATTATTGCTGTGATATCATAGGGCAAATAAAATGTTCATATGGCAAAAAAAAACAACAACAACAAAAAAACAAGATGGAGCCTTGAAATAAGACCAACTTAACTCATCTGAGTTGATGTTTGGGCAATAAAAATAAGCATCACTTAGTTTAATCAAAAGCAACAACAAAAAGCGACACACACTTTACACCCTCATCCAGAAAGGCTTGCAATCCACCTCACTCTTTTAGTCGTTTCCTTTTTGTAAAAAGGCCTCTTTGGATTGCTTTCAAGTGTTGTGATCTGTTGTTCGGCGGCCAGTGAATGCACCACTGCACTGCCTGTACAAATTGCATCTGACAGCACACGCTTTTTATTCTGTGTGATTACAGTTTTAATGTTAAAGGCGTCTCCCTCCTCCATCACACAGTCCTCCCCAAAGGACTTCAGATGAGGGAGAAAATCCCAGCGATGTTTGTTTTTAGCAGCCTTAATGACAACACGTGTTTTACCAAATGCCAGCTATAACCCAGGTATGTTCATACCAATCTATTATAATGCAAATGACTGTTTATTTTTTTAAAGGAAATATCAGGCAACGTCTATATCTTGAACAAAGCACTCTGACAACAAGTAATAAATGCATGGATTCAGCTTCAGGACTTCCTGTAAATATAAAGTTATTTTAAGAAGTTAGGAAGATAAAAAGTCATGACCTGCTGTGTGTGTTTGGTTCAAATAACATCACAAGATGTACAAAAATCAAGCTAAAGACGATCATTATTCTCCCTATTGTAGCCTAGAAATCATCAGAACCAAATTCTGGCATAAATATGTAAGTTTCCATCTGTTGCATTATCTGCTAAGACATTTACCAATGCCAGCTCATCATGTTGATTCCTGTACCTCTTGTGATGTCACCAAATACACACAATGTGGAATCAAGTCTTTTCTGAAGAACATTACTGAAAGCTTTATTCTGTGAAAACCTAAAACGGAAGTCATTTTTTCCTTTCTTAGCTGTGTTTTCTTCATGAGTGTATATTTTACTGTTGGAAAAATATCTAATATCTTCAAGATGAGCCCATCTTGGTTTCACAAGTCTTTGTAATCTGATCTAAGTGTTGACCTTACCCTGATTCTCCTCATGGCTGCTACGATCTCCATCCGACTGTTGGGCCTGGGCACGTCAAGACTCCCCACATACTGTGCCAAACACGTACACACACATGAAAAAAATGAATAAATAAAAATCAGTCATCCATGGCACTCCGCACTGCAAAATGACAGTTTGACAAAATCAACTATTTCCATGCAAAAATGCACAGATTGTTTGACGTGACCAAAGTTCTGCTAATAAAGGCGCATTTTTAATCTGCATATTTTTTTTCTTATCAACTGTCACTCAGACTAGTAAAATTGCAGTCACAGTAACAGAATAACACAGCACAATCCCTACAACTGATCTTCCTGCACACTGCTAGTCAGCTGGCAGAAAGAGGCCTGTAGCACATTTGGTCTTAATTACAGTGAAAAAACAAAAAAAAAAGTTGGTTCGCATCAAAAATAAACTTAGAAAGTTACGAGTGGTACGTCAGTTAAACAGCTGACAGCAAGCTGGCTACATGAGCAGATAACCTAACTACTTAACCAGATAATCAGTTTGTATTTGATTACTCCATTAGTGTTACTACATTAAGTGCACAATGTAGTATTTTGTGCAATAATATCCTTTATGGAGGGTTACTTCATTTATTTCTGTACTTCAGTATATTATGCAACAATAATAATTAATTTTACCAATGTGTAAAGGCCTCTAATTTTTCAAGCAGAAGAAAGACCTGTTGCTGTTTCTATGATAAATGGAAACATGTAAATTGTTTTGTGTATGTTTGTTTTTAATTGCCATATTTATTCTGAAAAACCATGGCGTTTTTGATCAAGTTACCATATCATGATATGCATAGTCCCAAATACTGTGATAGATTCTGAGGCTTATTTAATTATGGACATTTATAAAGTAAGTCTTTAAAAAATTACCTTTTTTGATGCACTAAAATATCTTTGGCAAAAAAAAAGAGAAAGAAAACATGGTATTTATGTTCTAAAGTGAGATGAAAAATTGTATTGTTGCTTTTGGCTGAAACGACAGCTTACAAATGTTGAAAAATGGAACCAGTGGAAAGAATTGCAGTCAGTAGTACATCTCTATTAGCAACCATTCTCTGTATACAACACATACTAATCATTCAAGTGTCAGCATCTGCAGCAGAGTGTGCCTTCAAAAGAGATCAATGTGTGTAAGACGCTGCAAAACAATGACTTTTCATGCAACTTGTCAAATATGTATGGTTCTGTTTCAAAGATGAGTTTAGTGTGGTGCAGATGACACAGCCTTCCCTTATTAGTAAGCTCTTTGCGGCTTGCATATATTTGAATTCATGAGCGGCCCTGGGGAGCATGCTGCCTTTGATGTTGCTCTTATTTTGATTGCTGTAAACGGTCTGGGAGCAGAAAGTTTGTACCACTGACTTGGTAAAAAATAAGTCTTTGGCTGTTTAATATTTAGAGATTCACTGTGTGCACTCATTCAGTTTTATTCATTCATAATCCTGGAGTCAATTTATTAACTGAGATGTTTTTCTTTCATCAAAAAAAAAAAAAATGCGATGCTTATCACATGCACTTCCTGTTGGAGGATGGTTCTGACGCACTCCTCCATTCAGCTTTGGTGCATTGATTTTACTTTTAGTCGCTAATAATCTGTAAAAGTCTGGATTTTACACATGTACATTACATCAGAAAAATGTACATAAGCTTCACAGTTTACTTTTTAGACCTTGTACATCCTAACTTTTAGTTTTCTGGCACAGTCTGTTTTTGTTGTTGTTTCGTCATCCACTGAAGAAAAAAATGTTCCAAAATCTGCATGGGCTCAAAGCTACATCTGATGTGACCGTAGGGTATGTTTGCCTTTTTGACATCATAGTTTTCAAATAGTTTTTGTTTTGGTTATCTACTTTAAAATCTAACAAATTACAACACTTGTCAGTGAAAAGGGCTTATGAGTTATTTTGAGAAGTTTAGTTTTATAAATGTAAATAATGTTGTGAAAATATTTTGTATTGAAAAAAAAAGAAAAGTACAAATTCAGAGCTTCCCAAAAGCATGCGGGCAAAACCATGCTCAAATCCAGATGTAAAACTAAGAATTTAAGAATATCAGTTTTCTATTACTTTTGCACTTAAAGAACAGAACATATTTCTTATAAGCCAAAAATAACCAAATAAATAAATGTTCTCTTTTTTTATAGAAATAATAAGTAAAAATATATACTATATTAAGAAAATGAAAATCAGTGTTACTGTTATGGACTTCAGTCACAGGGAGCTTTACTGTTGAACAGGAAACAGCAATTTGTTAAAAACTGTTAAAACAAGGGAGTGGCACAGGGTCAAAGTTCAACAACAGCACATGCATGCTTTAATCTTTTCAACTTTCCTGGTATATAACTTGCCTGAATATATATATATATATATATATATATATATATATATATATATATATATATATATATATATATATATATATATATATATATATATATATATATATATATATATATATATATATATAAAGGTATGAATTGCTTTTGGATGAATAAAGACATTTCCATTAGTAATACAATAAAAATAGATGTTAAAAAGAACCAAACCAAAAATATTTTCATCCTGTCTATCGGTCTGAGATAAGTTGAGTATAAGAAAAACTTTTAACAAAGGATAAATGTAAAGTATCTTTCATGAAAAAAAAAACAACAAAAAAGCTGAATTTCCATGTGTATCTTGAAATTTGCATCCATAAGAGAAATTGTTTTATGCAAGGCTAGGCACCATCCCTGCCTCTTGCCCGGGGCTCACATCAACTTAAATTTGGCCCTGGTGCCAGTTTGTTAGTTGTTTTCCAATTTAGGACTCATAATTGAACGAGTTTGGGGAATGTTGCCAATGGATCAGCTGTTGTTTTGAGATTCCAAAGATAAATCCAATCAGAGGAACGTTCCTGGGATAAACCTGGAATAAATGTGGGAGCAGCTGCTGCCATGAGTTTCAACTTCATAATGGATCCCAGCTGCTCCGTCCAGTACACCTGCCACCGCCACATGGTTGGGGAGGGGAGGCTGGGGGGAACCAGACTGCCTAGAAATAACGAAATTGACCAGGTTATTTCACCTTGGCTTGGAAGTAAATCCCATGCTGGTAAGCCACCTCGTTGTGCAGCGGCAGCCGCGAGTCCGCCACATCGTCCACCAGGTTGTACCTGTTCCTCATGGGCATCCCGGGCTCCCTTTCCTCTTGCACAGTAAATAAAAAAATAAATAAATAAATCACTGAACAGAAGCTTAGCGGATCGATCCAGAAAACGCTACAACAAGCCGGGTGCGCACGGCTGCGTGAGGCACTGCTGCGCGGTGGGAGCGCGGTCCATGGCCGCTGCCCGGGGCTCCAACCCGTCCCGACCTCAGGAAGGACAAGACTGCGCGGCTCTTTTTCTCACACACAAAAACAAAAGCAAAAAAAAAAAAAACACACAGAGGGTGTCCCCTGCACGTTCAACCTGCCAATAGGGCAAAAATAAATAAATAAATTTTAAAAAAGCAGGCAGTGTGTGCGTGTGTGCTTTCCCAGGGGAAATCCTCTCTCTCCTCAGGTAATGAATCCCGCTTTCCCTCTGAGTCCTGTTTGCATTCCCGTCCAGTTGGTCGGGTTCAGCACTGTTCTGCAGACGATCAGAGAGCGTCCACCCCCCTGCGCACCCCGGTCCCGCTCCTTCCCTCCCTCCGCAAAGCACAAAGCGACTCCCTCATTGGAGCGAAGTTCCCAGGCATGATGCAACCGGGAGCCGGGAGGACAGCCAGCAAACAAAGTGAGCCCTCCCCTCAGGAGCTAGACGGGAAAGAAAAGGATACAATCATTTCGATGATTTCACTGTGGGAGGGCAAATTCTCCACATATGAGACGAAAATGAGTAAAATAAGTCCGGGAGGTTACAGAGCCTTGCAAAATGCACCTCAGCTACAAACAGAAATCAGATTTTTTTATTTTTTTTTTTAGACAGATCAATGTAAAGGGAACATTATATTCAACTTTGAGGTTAAAAAAAAGAGAGAGATCTGTGTTGCTTTATCCACTTCCTTTACTCTGATACCCTTTTCAATCAAAGTACAAAAAACAGCCTGCAGAGTAACACAGCAGACAGGTCAAGGTTAAAGTTGTGGAGGTTTAAACCATCACATATTTAGTAATCTGTTAAAAATGACAAGCCTAGAGGGGAAAATGCCTCAGTAAGAGGCCAGAAAAGAGCAGCAGTAATGAGAAAAACTATCCAGAGGCCAAGGACCCCTCTGCAGGAGCTTTAGAGGTCAACAGCTCAGGTGGGAATCAATTGACACACCAACTATTGGTGGGAAGTAAAAACAAAAAGTATTTATGAGTAAGAGGTAACAGGAAAGTTATTAAAGCTAAGCAGTGAGACGTTCTTTTTGAAGTTTGACAGAAGACAAATGACTGATCAAAGTTGAACTTTTTTTGAGCACAACATCAGTGAAGCACGGCAGTGGCAGAATCATGCTGCGACATCAGCTTCCTTGACCAGAAGATGATGAAGCTGAATAGCGGAAAATCCTGGAAGAAAACCTATTGTGGGCTGAAAACAGAGGGCACAACAGAGGATTAGCTCAGATAGAATAGCCTAGTCAAAGTCCAGTGCATCCGTTTTTTGGATTTAAATGTTTTTTTTTTATTTTTTATTTTAGATATGTGCTGTAATCTAGCCATTACTGGTTTTCTTTCATGTCTGGGTTCAGTGAGCTTGTTGCCTTAAACACAGGATCATAATGTGACGTCCAGCTCAATAAGTTGGTAGTTGAAAATTTAAGTGAGAATCATTTTCTACATGCATACTGCCCTTATTTATTTATTGTTTTGTTTTTCCAATGAAGTATGCCTGTCTTCCCTCAATTAAATAAAACAAACAAACAAACAAACAAAAACTCTTCGTTTCCTCGTTCTCATATCCTGAGATTTCTGATAAAACCATTACAATTCTCACAAACATCGAAGATATTGTTTTAATCTTTTGCTTTCTTTCTGAAGAACCCCCAAATAGCCACTTGACAGAGACTGGTACCAGTGTACCAATAACACATAAGCTTAATTTTAAAGTGGAAGTGCTGTTTGACACTTCCCTTTCTCACGGTAAAGTTGCGAAATGGTAGAAATGCTGTTGATATTTGCTCTGCTTTTGCTGATGGACTCTGTCGTGTCCCACCCAAAGATCTGCAAAGATCTTAAAACACCAATTGACAAAACATGATTATCCCCTCTTTGTTACTGCAAAAGAAAGATCTTTACTCTTTTAGCCTATGATCAAAGTTAACTTACAGCGCCCTCTGTTGGTTTCAAAGCTGACTACAATCAAAATATAGTTTGTGTTTTTGAAAACCCTTCCCATCTGAAGGCCTGGCTTGAAGTAGATCTAGATTTGGGAAACAGAAGAAATGTTCTGTTGATAAATCATATTAAGATCTGCTCATCATGGTAGTTTTAAAATCTGTCCAGTTTTGAAAAACTTGATATAAATCTGGATTGCTGTTTCTTTGTGTCAGAGCGAATTTCAAAAATAATCAATAAGACAACATGGCTATACATTGTTGGAGATTTGAGTAGCTTTTCTTCTAAACTTATATAAATTAGTCCTGAGGACTTTGTGGTCCACCTAAACAGAAGCATTTCTACTTGGATTCCTGCAGATCTCTAGATGTTTTTATTGGCACTGTTTTGTGTTTGTTCAAATTTAAAGCCTGGATACTTCAAAAAGTATCTATTAGCTGCAAACTGGAAAAGAGAAGAATAATGAAGGGTAGATATGCTGTAGTAAACTTGCGACCTACTTCAGAACTTTAATAGCCCACTTCAGCGGGTGGGAAATACAAAGATGTTTTAAGATTTTAATTTCCATAATTTAATTCCCTTTACTTACATATCGGCCTTTTTATCTGGGGCATAAAGATAAATTACCAGAGCATAACAACACGAGTTATCTTGATTTGAGACTACATTACAACTTTGTGCAGCTGGCAGGAATAGCAAAGCGATACACAAGTGTACAGAAGTACAATGTGAAGAGTCTGGATTCTGTTTTGAAGAGCAAACATTGTATTATCATTTGTAGAAAGATGATAAAGATATATTTTTTTTTTCACAAAAAAAAGCAACAAAAACATTTCAGTTATGTAATATGTCACTGAGTTTTATTCAGAGATTTTATGGGTCTTAGAGCAAAACTTGAAGGGTTGTGCATCATCACCATCCCAAAAGTGTCTTTTCATGGAAAGAATACCCTTCATATTCTATGAGTTGCAGTCATGAGGCGTAATTTATGTCGATGTCATGTTACCAGAGGCTTTGTCCTTTCATAATACATTAGATTGTGCACTGAAATGATGCCGCTGCTCTTCTCTAACAGTGAGTCATACATCACTGCAATTACGGTAATGTCTTTTGAGGACTATTATGGTCAGGACCACCTATTAGTTGCATAGGATAGAGGTTCTGGTAACACTAGGTCCTGTGGTCCTGATGTAACACTAGACCTAAAATTGATCTGATTACATTGATTCTCTTTAAAGTGGAGATTATAAAAAAAAAAAAAAAAAAAGAAAATCTAAATAAAAGTCTAGTTTCTTCCAAGAATGTAGAACATATCTTGGGTTTTGATGATATCCTCTAGGCTGCCAACAAATGCATTGTTGTTTTAAGTCTTACACATAAGCTTAAAGGTCTGGTTTCTGTAAGAGACACTGATTTCTTTTAAATTAATAAATACATTTGGAAGCACTATAGTAGTGTGGCTATTCCGTGGAAAATCACATTACACTAACAAAACTACTAACACATGGACTGCATATGATTAGTGTACAGTCTCCATTTAGGAAGTCATCAGTAATATTGTCACTTTCTAGTAAAATCCTGTAACTTCGAAATAGCACCAAGTTTTCATATTACATCCACATTTTCACAAATTCAGACAATAACGGATTTTATCAGGGTCACGTAAAGAACTTTGTCAAGCAAAATCGCAAAAACATAATCTTAAGCACAAACCTTTTGTTCAACCCCTTTTACTAAATTCAGGGATGTCCAAAACTAGTTGGGTTCAGAAATCAGTCTGATCAATTCTAGCAATCAATCTTCCGAGGCTAAATCTGGTTTTGTGTGATTCCATTTTAAACCATAAAACCTTGGTGAAAAACTTCACGCAAAAAACACACACAAAAAACAGCGCTGGTAGTAGCAAGTTTATTTCACCAAATTCAGAATCAGACTTCACATCACAACACACAATGACTGTACACGTACCTCTTACAGCTAAAATGGCATTAAACACCCGCCGGCAACAGATGAATCAAGCGGGCGAATTGCTTGAACTAAATAAAGACAATAAATCAAAAGTGTGTAGACAAGGAGGATAAACAGTGATGTTCCTTAAATATTCACCAACACCGGAGATTGCTAAAGTGTTTCAACCGGCTTAAGTTGTTTCAAAGTCGTGCAGCTGGCGCTGTTTCTGTATGATACCTGAGAGCTGTCCCTGGTGGTCCATTAAATAAAACCTGATCAGAAACTGACAGAATAGAGACTTTTAGACAGCAAAGGCTGTAAGAGACACATGCAAGCAGCATTCGTTTTTCTGGGGCAAGGCAATAAAAACAGTTAAATCGTACAATCTCCATCTTGCTTTAATATGATGATGAAGGTAAACCATCACTCTGCCTAATGAGAGAATACACACCAAAACAGTCCCTGAAGAAAGTCACTTCCCTCCATTAATAATAACCTAATTCATTTAAAGAAACAAAGGGGGAAAAAAAAACAACTTAAAATGTTTTACAAATGAGCACACATCCCTGCTCACTATTGGCTACACAGGCTGAGCTACACTAAATCAGCTCATCCTGGGATACAAAAAAGAAAAGGACACAAGGTCTAACACAAAAATAATAAACCTCAGGTGTGGAAATCTTTGGATAAACCAGATACATTCAATCCCTTTTGCTTTTGTTCATAAATGCCCACAAGCCACACTTCAGAAGTTTTTGTGTGCCATTTTATTATACTACAACACCTCTTCCTATTATGAGCTCCAGGTTTGGCTGAAATAGGGTTAAAAACTCTGGAGATTAAGAGTCTGAAACTTTTAACAAGAATTGATCATAGCCCATAAAGTCAAAACTGTTCAAACAGTGACAGGAATGCAAGATTTCTCATTTGATCAAACAACAAAATTCAAACACAAGTTGTGACAAAAGACAGTGAAAAGGTTAAGGAAACACTTTAGGTGTTAGTGATCTCCATATTTACTTTCACCCCGGATAAATATGCATTGAAAGCTTTGAAATAGATTTTAATTTTTGAAGCAGCATAACCTCACACCGGAAACTGTCCTGAAGTTCTCAAACACATTGAATCAACATTTCTAAGTTCATCCACTGCCAATCCTCCAAATGTATGTTTGGTGGGAACATAAAATTTGCTCAACACAACCTCAGTTTTTTTTTTTAAACATTGCAATTATTCTTCTCGCTGTAGATTTTATCCAAATTTAGAAAAGAAACCCACCTGCCTGACTTGAGCAGTATATTTTCATGTTTGCCCCCATTTGGACATTTTTCTGTAGGAGGCTATTGTGGTGCGGTAAAAAATTGCATTCACTTTCGGGCTTTTTAAACATCGTTGCCTTCACTATATCTGGTGTGATTGGGTCCTATAATATCAGTTTTAAATAAAAACTGGCACAACAACAAAAATAAGGAATAAACTAAATGCAGACACCATCATGATTTATGAAATTGCACTGCTTTACTGCTCTTTTATTTAAAATTTGCCCTTTTCTTTTTTTACAGAAAGCATCAAACATTTGAACGTCCATATAGTGGGGCAGACCTGTGGGTTGTTTTTGATATACACTCAAACTTTATAACAGAAGCATTTCTGCATGTGTACAATTTTTTCTTTATTCTTCAGACTTTATCATTCTTCATATTATATTCCCAGTAAGACTCAGTAGTTTCAAACAACATAATTTCATTTTCCTTAAAATGCAGCCACACATTTCTGTAGTTATGAGTGGCCTTTTCATGCAGACCAGAAAATTTTAACCTCCGCACCACGATTCTGGCTAGCTTGGCTTTTCGCTCCAAGTCAGGTGGAGGTTTCATGTAAAAATATATATTTTGCAGTCAAATTTGTTTGCTACAGCTGGTGGGTCTCTATCGGTCTTATTGTCATTATTAAATGAGAAAAATGTCAAATCTTTTGCTGGTGAGCTTCCGCCCCGCACTGCATTGCTAATAAAAATGCCCAACTGCATGTCTCTACATTGCCTGAATAAGCTGAGCTGAATTATGTTTCTATCACAATCATTTCACGTGTAATTTACTGGAAGGCTTTGGGGGAAAAAGTTTTTGTAAAGTAAATGTTGGCTCAAAAACAACAACAACAAAAAAAAAACAGTCAAAAACTAAAATCTAAAGGAAGAATTTAAAGCACAACCTCAAAAACATTGAGCCATGGTGATAAATTCTATCGTTTGGATTGGAGGTAAATAAATAAATTCAACATTTGTTGACCGTATTGGTTCAAAACAAAAGAAATGCACCAAACACCAAAGCAGTTAAATAAACAACTATGTAGTGTTGGAAAGAAGAGCAAGACAAAAGGTAGGATGAATGTGGAGGTCCAAGTATAAAAACTGCAAAACAAGACGAGGCGAGGAGGAGAAGAAGATGCCTCACTCCGGAGCTCCATTTACTGTCCCTGCCGACCGCTCTTCGTCTCCCTGCTTCTGGTGCTGTAGTCTGGCGTAAGTCACAGCGTCTCCCCTAAGATGGCAGGGAAAAACAAAGAAGAAGGAAACAAGAGAGGAAACGGGATGCAAAGGAAGGGTGGTAATGAAAATAAGTGGAAATAAAGAAAAAGCAAGTGTACGAGAATCAGAATTAGAAGGGATTAGTACAAAACTCACTCAGTTTAAACCTATTTGCGTCAATAAAAGGGAAGGTCATTAGGGTGGCATTGTGTTAACTGATTAAAATGTTGTGAACTGCATTCAATGTGAGAACCTGTTATAATGCGAGTCGTTGGGAAATAAAAAAAAGACATGTTTAAATACAAAGGTGTAATGTGTTGCATGCTTTTAACCTATAGAAGCCATCTCACTTTTTGCCTAAAGATGCAAGGCCATAAAGAACTCCTGTGGCAAAGGCGATGGCGTTTCCAAACAGCGTTGTAATGGAGAAGCTCAGGAACACGGGAAACAGGGCCATCCTGAGGAGAAGCGACCAAAAAGGACATTAAACGAAAGACAAACGTTCAGAACATGCAGAATTGTTGAAAAACAGCACTTTGGTACATAAGTATTTATGCTTAAAAGTCCAGATTTCTCGGATGCCAGCCGTTTTGACAATGGATGCTTGTTCTTACCCACAGTAGAAGAGGGCTTTCTGCCAGGGCTTGAGTTTGTCTGCGCGGGCTGCGATCGCATTTGCAAACTCTATGAACTGGCAGCAGAATGGGACTTCACAAAGGAATAGCACAAAGGCATTCAACCTTGAGACGAGAGGGCGGGGCCACAAGCACAGCAGAACAGGGAATTATTGGCAGCAGCGTGTCAATCTCAGAAACACAAATCAATGAGAAAATAACATAAGCAGTCCAAAAAAAATTCTTTAACATATTAATTTATCATTAATATTTATATTAATGATGAATATGCCTCGCAAAACAGAGGGTGTGAACAAACTTACAAGTGACTCTGTTTGGGTGTGTTTGTTGGAAGGCTTTTCAGACAGACATAACTTCCTGTTTTGTTGTGGTCTTAATGCTTAATATTTGATGTACTATTCTAAATGTGAGCCCTGAAATTAGAGGTTTGACTCTCAATACACATGAGATTGTACAATAAAAACCATTCTATTCCATTAATGCTTCTCAATATTTATGTTTTCACAATAAATCCCAGTTAGAGTTAGGTCTGGTCTTTGACTAGGCCACCTTAACATATAGAACACACTTTCATCTAGAGCAGTGGTTCTCGATCCGAGTCGTCAGGGCCCACTGTCCTTCATGTTTCTGATGTGTATCTGTTCCTGCAAAAGTGGTTTAAGTAATTGCATTACCTCCTGCAGAAGCATGCTAATCAGCTATTTTTTTGTAAATCAGGTGTGCTCTCACCTAATATAAGCAGTGGATCAACCAGCACTGATTAAAGATTCCACTGAATCTCTGGCTGAAGGTTTATTGACGTTGTCCAGCTGGAAGGTGAACTTTCACCCCAGTCTGTAACAGTTTTGAGTATTGGCCATACTTGCTAGCAATGCTTAGAATGAGTAAATATGTGCATGAAACAGATTTATTATAAAATTTAACCTCCTCTGTATTATTTGGTTGGGTTAATGTTTAGAAAAAAAAAAAAAAAACAATGTGATTTTCATTTTGTGATTTTCATTTTGTGCTCAGCAAAACAAAATGAAAAAGAAAAACAAAATCACATTCAGGTGAGAATTTCCAAATACAACTTTAGAAACTTACACCATCCACACTCCAGCAGCGATGTTTAAAGGGTTCACGGTGACGCAGTTCCACACTCCCGAGACAGCGCAGGCTGTTTTTTTGTGGTAAAGCAGATGGCAGGTCAGACGCAAAACATTACGGCGCACCACAAGACATTAATCTGTACAGTAAACTCCTCAGAGGAGAGGGGATCGCTAAATGAGGCTATGAAAGAAATCGACGTCAGCCACTTTTGAGTTTAATAAAAACAAGACAAGTACTGCAGACAGCAAGATGTCTCTTGAAATCAGCACATTTACACTCCAAACACACCTGGAACACACCGACATCATACATCATATGGGAACGTTTTATCACAACTTTCGCTTCAAATAACTATAACAATAAAAAAAATAATTACAACTGTTTTCGAGGCTAAATATGTTTGTATCTTATGAGTAAGACTAACCACTTCATGACAAGAATGACTAATTTTTACTAACAGCTTTTTAAGCTTTTCTTATTCTTAGCTTTAATAGCAGGATGCAGGAGTGGTTAATCTAAACAAAATCTGACAAAACATGACATGCATAAACATCAGAAATGAATACGTGTTATAATATAAGCTGACTTTAAGCAATTATGTTGAATAAAAAAAACTCTGAGATAAGTGAAACACGAGTGTTGTGTACATATGTTCTAGGAAAGTTGTGAAAAAAACTCAGAAACATGATCAGAGTGGAATTAGAGGGAGAGGGTGAGAACTGGCATAATCTCACATTGCAGAGGCGTGAGAGATACAGCAAATAAGAGCAGAAAAAAAATAATGAGATTGTGTATTAAACTCCTCTGGTATTCAATTACTGCACTGCAAAAATGATAGAAGAGAAACTTCTAAATAAGGATAAGGCTTGAGATCAATCACGATTCAACAGTTAGAAGGAAAAAGTCACTGCAAACCAAGAAACATGTAAGTATTCTAGTGTAGCCTCGTGTCTCCGTCCGTTTTGGGGTGGAAATCTGAAAAATGATTCATGGCTTAGTTTCAAACGTGACGTCTGTGATGACAGAAAATTAAAGCATATCAATGGTCATAAATGCTGCCATTGATATGTTTTTTTCAACTGGAATTAAACAATCCAAACCCATATCACTGAATATAACAATACAGTCATATGGATACAGAATAACTGTATGAGACTGAATCTGAATTGAAGTATTTGAAAAATGTTAAGTGATTTGAACTGAATCTGGACCAAATTGGAATCTATACATATATGGATCTGAAATTGACGTGTTTGCCTTGAGGTGACGTTTGTTGTGAATTGGCATAATATAAAACGACTTGAACTAAATGTAACTGAAGATTTTCACCCTATTAAAAACAAACATTATGCACATCTTAATATTGAAGACATTTTAATTTACTTGGAAAAGAAATGAGCCCACCTGCCACCTATCTTTTGCATTTTCACCATCCACTTTTTTGAAAAGAACTGCTTCAGCACCAAACCTCACAGAGTCTCGAACACTGGAAAAAAGACCATTGCTCCCTTCCACTGTCCATCCCTCTTAATAATACAGAAGTCATTGAATATGCAGTGGTTCATTTGATCCAGGGACTGTGACTCTGGTGTCACTGGGGAGGAGACAGGGAGGGGACGGAGGGCTGCAGTACTGCTGGAAAACTGCAAAGGCAGCACAAAATCTGTCTCATGCCGAGATGGATTGTGCTTTTCCTGAAGGGAATATTCAGCTAATTAGATTTTGTGTCGCTCTTCTTCAAGAGTATTAAGGCAGGGGTGAAGGGGGGAAAGCAAACAAAACAGGCGGCGCCCTACTGCAGTGAGGGGACAATGAACAAGCAGCAGGGACAAAAGACCCTGTCCCAACACAGCCAGGAGTAAATACACAAAACAAATTAAATATACCAATCATAAGGACAAGAATAAACTTGTTACAGTCTGGCAAATAATAAAATTATACGTAAAATGTATAAACTTGAAGACAATAGAAGCTACTTACATATTCCTCCCAAAACCCCTGCGATTTTGCAGAGCCATCTGTACCACCAGGTCATGCCATCATCCTCCGGAGCGGCTTTGCTGGGCGCTGCTGTCTCTTCAGAGCTCATTGTGTTTCTGTTTTTTTCCTGCTACGGCTTTCAAAACACCTTCTGGCAGATTTCACAGCCTGAAACCACCCAATAATATCCAAGTTAAGTTCGCTCCAGGCAACAAAACCAGCTGCCGACTAGCCTAACACGCTACTGCGCTCCAGGTCGGTGAAACCAGATGCAATTCAAACTTTCTGATCTTTATATAAATACAGATATTTTCCTTTTTGTGTGCTGGTGTCGGCTGCCTTCGCCCACGGTTCTGTCCCCGTCACTCCGAGCCAGCTAAGCCTGGGCTAGCTGATGGTCACAAGCGGTAGCATCGCCACCAGCAGCCGCTAGGAGCGGATGTCACCGACGCGTGTGTCCTGGAACTTCCGAGCCGCCTTGTAAATTAATAACACATCCAATGCAAACACCTTATTACATCGGATAAGAGTTGATTTAACGGGTTTTGATTAAATAAAAGCAGCTTCGTCTTGTTGCTCACGGTGGGAGCTCTGCCAGCGTCAGCTGTGCGTGGTGGGAGGGGCTTAAACTGCGTCATCCTTTGTTTACAGTCAGCAGAGCTATCTGTATGTTTAGCTTTAATAGGTTTATGCTTCCTTAATGTATTCAAACCACAAAAGTAGTGGTAGTCATAGTATTATCGCGGTCAAAACGTATTATTGAAATTAATTTCAAAGAGTACTAAAGAGTGATATACTTCAAGCCCATATCTGTTTATTTCCAAGAGTAGGCTTGAAACTGAAGAAATCCCAAAATGCAACACTCAAAAAACTTGAATAGTAAATAACACCATTCAAAAAACATTCAACACAGAAATGTTAAAACATAAGCAGTTGCTCAAAGAGCGCTCCATTCAAGCGTCACAATGGAAAGTTCAGTGGAAGGAAAACATGAAGGTATACAAGCAACAGGAATTGTAGAGATCCATGTCATTTTCTGGTGTTGGTTCACTGTGTTTCATCAAGTTCTACTGACACATTTTCTGAGGTCAGAGTTGGATTTGTAAAATGTCAAATATAGAAATGTGCATATTTAAAAAGGTTATTTTCAATTGCACTATTAGCCTTTATTTTGAAAAATAACCTTTAAAAATATGTACATTTCTATATTTGACATTTTACAAATAGATTATGTTGTACTGGGGACAAAAAGCAGTTCTGATGCAATATCCCTTTGGAGGCTTGGAATGTCTGAGATTTTAGAACAACTCTGATCTCCATAAAGCCAGAAAGAGTGTCAGTGTCACCCCAAATTGTCTTTTTAAACAATCTTTGTTTTGATTGTAGTGCAAGTGTAATTGTATGGATGATTACAATTACAAAAACATCAGTGACGCTTTAGATTTATTTAGAAAAGAAATCCTAGGCTACTGAAAATAGCAGAGGTGTTGTAGTCATTCTGGGGAGCATCAACAACTTTATCTGCTCTATGATTTAAATCAGTTCAGAGTGAGATACTTAAGGCATGTGTCCAGGCTGAAGATATTTATTGGTAATATTTTGCAATCTTATCAGTTTAATCCTCTGCATATGATTTTACACTCAGCACACAATGACACCAAAGAAAATCTTAATTTCTTAATTATGTTCATTTCAAATCTATTTTATTGTTAAATATTTGCTCACCTTTAATCACTCAGACATCTATACCGAATATACAAAAAACAACCCCCTCAAATCGCTCAATGTTAACACAGGATTCTTGGAAGAATAATACAAATACTGTCTTCTTACAGACGTTTCAGCAAATGAGACATGGAGCCAAAGAGCATACATTTCTCTCAGAAATAGATAATTAAAGGTAATAGGGATGTGCAATGTATCTACAGATTACACTTGATCTGACTCCAGGAAGTATGATAGTTTTGATTTAAACACTGTCCTTTTCTTAAAGGTACACAGGGGCTTCAAATAGCCATAGTTATTCTAGTTTTTGTTGATAATAAGATCATGTCTGACCTGGGAACAAAGACAGAAACGATCTTGATCCCAAGATCATGGGATCCTGACGAGATTTGTGTTGGTAAATTTTGAAAAAATTCTTCAATGTTTAAAATAAAATAATAATAGTAATGAAAATAAGTACTGCTTCAGTCTTATTTATCAAATTTAGCATTTTTCTGTCTGTATGAGGTAAACAGCACTGGCTTTCATAATTCTGCTGGTAACAGAGCCCATATTAATAGGGTGTAATAACATCCCCAGAAATTTCACATTAGAGTTCATCACCAGTGAGAGAGTTGATTTTAGGTGTTCGCCTCTGGCTTCACTCTGACAACAGATTGGACTGCAATGACCTCAGAGTCCTTCGGCTGGTCCTCCTCATCACGTTCATCACAATCGGTTTCCTCTTCCCTGTCGGGACACGGCACAGCATGTCGTCGAGTGTCTCCTGGGTCACCTGACCGGCCTGTTGGAGCTGAGTCACCACCTGCTCCACTTTCATCTTGAAAGGTCTGCCTTCACTCCTCAAAAGGAGCAAATCGACCTGAAAACCAGCCAATAGGAAAAACATTTTTCTTTTAAAGTCTGCATACCTTAGGACCTTTTTCCATCTTGTCACATTACCACCGGTCATATGACAAATCTGATACTGTTTGTAATCACTTACCACTTCCTGGGAAAACTCTGGCTTTTTCACAAGAAATGACAAACTGGGTGACATCGCTGCCGACAGCACAGAAACAGCCTCTAAAACATCTCCTGACATGGTAAGTATCAAAACCTATCACATAAAAAAACACATATCAATATGTATACTTGACCAAAAAAACCACCAATAAATATATATGCACACTTACGTTAAAGTTTTGGCACAATTTGGAGTCAGTGCTCATAATTTGTGTATACAAAGTGTGTGCCTTTTCTAGGTCATTCTGACACAAAAACAGAAGAAAATAGGGGATTTTTTATTTTAACAATTTGCACGTATTTCTGCAACATCATTAAAAGAGCACATATTCAACTCACCTGTCTGAGTGCTAATGCAATAGCAAAGCAATATGCATGGCGAGTGACGACTTGGCCTCTGGTCTGTTGTTCTTCTATTAGTGACATACTGATTTTGTAACATTCTGCTGTGTTCTGAGCAACAAAAAACAAAAAGATCAAACTCTAGACAGAGAAAAACTTGGGATGGTAAAATGCTAAAGCATGGTTAAAAAAAACAAACAAAAGCAGTACTACTCCATTAACTTTTCCACATTTTGTGATCTTAAACAGTAGCTTTAATTTATTTTAATTAAATTTAAGGTCATAGACAAACAAAAAGTAATACATTATTGAAACATGTACTCAACTAATTATTAATTAATCTCTATTAACTAATTATTTATTATTTGTTTCCTCAGAAAAGCTGTACAGTCTAAAATTAATTCTACTTACTATTAATGTAATTTTATTTTTAGGCAACTGAGGCTAATATTGGAAATGCATGCCACACATTTCCAATATTGTATTGTCACTCCTCTTCACAATTGTAGATTATTAAATTTGTTCTTTTGCACTGCTCGATCCCATAAAATCCCAGTAGAGCACAAATTGTGGCATTGATGGGACAAAATGTGAAAAAGTTTAAGGGGTGTGAATAGGGCTAGGTACTGTAATTTAATCATTACCAGTTTATAGCAGGTAGCAATCGCTAGTGTGAGTGTGTCTTTGTTGAATGGTACTCCTTGGCTCCTCATCGTTCTAAAGACGTCCATAGCGCCTAGAACAACAAACGTTTTTTAGAATATTCCCTCCATGTAATGATACATGTAGGCTGACCTGTTCCTTACTTTCATATGAGCCTTTAACAAACAACATGTTGATGGCGATGTTAAAAGAGGTTGAATCAATAAAAAAGCCTTTCATATTCTGTACAGAGTAGAAAGAAAGAAAAAAAAACATTATTTGTACAAGTTGTTTTTATTTTGTGTTGTAATTTAATATAATTATTTATCATTTTTTTGACTCGTTACCTTATCAGTTAAAGTTGCAGCAGCCATTTCCTCCATGCCAAGTTCATAGCAAAGCCTCATGAAAAGTGGGCCAAACCTGAAGTCTCCATACAAAAAGTTCCGGTTCTCCGCATGATACCTTTTCACGAATGGAATTTATAGTTTTCTAGAAATAGTGAAGACTTTAGTCTAGCTTGCGTGTAGGACAGAGTAGCACTTACCTATAGATGGCTTCTCGGGCTACTAGCATATCGTCTGGCTTTTGACACAGGTGGAGAAGCAACTTTAGGTCATCTCGCAGAATCAGCTTATTTTGTTGCATCTTCTTTCTGAACAGCTCAATATAATTGCCTGTGTAGGTGTATTGACAATTTTAATTTAAGCAGATTTCCCATTAAAATTGAGGCTGAGCAGTTTCTCACCATCTGATCCTGTAACAAGGTGAGCCACAGCTAACTTTCTTTGCTGGAAATCTTCCAGTTTGATAACATCTTCTGACAACAAATGCCTCTTAGCTGTGGATAGAAACGAACACAGGTAAAACTAAGAGTGGGAATTTTTTTTAGTAGTAGCATTTCCAGATTAAATGAAGATTGCAAAACCTGCCTGAATTTACAAGCAAAAGATCAACTGTTTTTTTATTAGTAAAATTAGCAGAAAAATCAACAACTGCTATAAGTAATGCGGAATATTGTGTGTATTATTAGATGATAATAATTAGCAAATATTACCGAAGAAAAAGCAAACATATTGTATAAGATGATTGTCACTCATTTGGTGAAAAATGTAAAAAAAAAAATCTGCTTGAATAAACAAGACAGGTTTAAAGATGCTAAAAATTCCAAGTGAGGTTCCTCAAGGTTTAGTGCTGGGACACATGTTTCTTCTGTATCACCGATCATACTTGAAAAGTTCATGAACTATCATTTGTGGTGCTCACAAATGAAACTGAATTATTATGCTTTCTCCACTTCTGTTTTGGGGGAAGAGCTGAACAATATTGATCACTTTAAATGTGTATTTAACATTAGGATGTTCAAAGGGCCTCCACAAAGTTGTGATGTTTGGCAATGCAATGCTGCTTAACATCGTCAGAAAAGTCCATCTATGGAACACTTTCAGTAATTAAATTAACAAATGTAAAATATTTCAATATATATAGGAATGTTTTAAATTTCAGGCCACTTTGAATTGACAGCTGACACATTTTACAATCACAATCATTAGCCTTAAAAAGCAACTCAGGCCTTTAAGACATTTTTTTAAAGCTAGTTTTTCTGAATAGGTTCGTTTAATGTGAATTAACATTTGCTGTGCTCTTTTCACGGTCTACAAATTGTAGCTTTACCCTGTCCTGTAAGTGTCTACAATCATGTGTGCCGTGAAACAGGACAGTCGCTGTCGATTTTCCTTTGGTTTCTCTTACCTCCAATGCGGCCCTGAATCCAGCTTGGTCGTAAAACTCCACAGAACAGCCCCTTGCAGGGTTTAGAAAGTAACGACCGACAACATTTAGCAGCCAGAGTCCCCAGCAGCGCCATGACACTCGCGGACCGAACCGTTGACATAGAAACAGAAAGGGTGGTACGTTGCGTCGTCTTCGAGCTCTTATCAGTGAGTTTACTTCCGCTCTCAAAATTATTCATAAACCTCGGAAAATACTTTAGAGATTTAATTCATCTTAAGTATTTTTGAACAGGTAGCACCACGGTTGTTTGACATATTTTGTTTTGCAGATACATTTTGGTATCTTCCAACATGGCGCCACACTCTGTGATCTTAATTTATTTAGTTCTCAAACTCTACCTGTAGATGGCGCTGTGATACCATTTCTGGTCATTTCAGAAAAGTGTTACAATGAACATCTGTATTACATAATAATAATAATAATAATAATAATAATAATAATAATAATAATAATAATAATAATAATAATAATAATAATAATAATAATAATGTGAAGAGCCATATTTTTCCTTCTTATTTAAATTGTCCAGATCCACAAAAGCGACATACCATTTTAAAACGATAAAATTAGAAGTTTCATTGTTTATTTTATTATTAAACTTACATTTTAGAGTTTCAGAAAAGAAAATGGAAAATAACAAAAAACAAAAACAATAGCAACAACAAAAAAACAAAACAGCAAATGAATCAAACCTGTACAAAAAGAGTATGAATAGATTTCCCCCCCACATTTAAGTCAAATTTCAGAAAAATAAACATATTATATTCAAATGACTAAAGAAAAAAAAACTTGTTACTTTTTATTTCTTGCACCATCAGTGTTATTCTGTTGTGGGATTTCAAAGCAACGAACAAAGAAAGACTACACTTTTTTTATAATCTTTATGTTTAAAAACATTGATTTGTTACTTATAAATTCTAGTCACTTTCAAGAGCTACCCTAAAATAGTAACGACATTACAGATTATTGCAATTGAAAAAAAAACCTTCAAGCTATGTATGGTATTTTATACCAAATGATTATGATTTAATACTTTTTATAGTTTATTATTGTATCATAATAGGCTTGTCTTTGATATAAATTAGACTTAATGATTTAAAAACTATGAAATAGGAAGGTTAACTGTAAATTTTGAACTTTGAGATAAAATAGTGGAATATAATCTGATACAAATAATCGTGTCAATCTGGTCTAGATCTACTGATTCTTCATTACAGGAGGCTGCAGGAAGCAACACTTCCTGCCTTTTTAGATTTGTGCCCCCGCTGACCTGGCAGGATTACGTAACAGAAAAGGAGCGTCCTTAAAAGGTTTCTGTTGTATTTTTCTTGTAATGGCTTGACGTCAACACACATTTAAGATGAAACCAAGCCATAAAACAAGTTGCAGTCTTGCTGTTTATTGATGCATAATTCCAGTATATACATCTCAAAACTAAAATGTATCGGGCATGCTCCCTGCAGGCTAAATGAATAATACATAGATTTTTTAAAAATGCTTTCTTTAAGTCCTGTACAGGCAGTGGAAAGGCTTTGGTGGAATTACTTTCAAATTTGATGGCATTTTAAAAAGGACACTGGTGAGTTTTGAAAAATTAACTCTCCACATTGGATGCTTCCACAATAAACTCCAATGATAAACAACAATGCAGAGAGGAAGAACTGGGAGGTTCCCCACTGTTGCCCTAGCAACATGATCTCAGCCCATCCAGCTGAGATAGCTCAGCCAATAAGATACAGGTCCCTTGGATAATTTATGGCATCCTGGAAGGTGTATGAGTCTCTTTCTCTCCCAATTTATCCCTCTGCATAAATATAATTCCATTCTAATTGCTCATCTGTACCTAGAGGCAAATAATTCAAAAGAGAAATATCATCATATATGTGGATATTGCAACACCCAGTGTCTGATTTGACCAGACAAGCAGCCAGGTTGAGCTGAGGGAACCGCAATTTTTATATCTTCTTTGATTTATCCTTACATGCACTTCCCTTTGGTTTTGGAAAGTGCCTCGGGTGTCCCGTCATCATTAATGAACATGCCCACTGAAACGGTTTTGAAATAACCTGAAAACAGCTGGAGCTGACTATACCACTGCTGTTGAAATAAAAAGACAAAGCCTCTGTTGAAAAACGGAAGATCTGGGTTTGTTGCCAGATGTTTATGAGATTCACGTTGATAATAAATGCCTGCTGGTGGACGCTTTATCTAGAGAAAGTCTGGGATGTTGTCTCATTCGTATAATTTTTTTCAATAATATTACAGTACGTGAAACGAGACAGAAAACACGTTCACTTAAAGACTCTGCCAAAATAACCAGAAGATTGTAATTTAGCTTTCTAAATTTGCTGTAATTCTTATAAAACAAACAAACAAAACATAGAATTACAGCTGGAATTAAAGCTTACTAGTATGCTTTTTCAAATGCCATCAAATTTGATTCTCATTACTATATGCACAATTGTTATTTTTGCTTTTTATATCTAAATCAAAATGTATGTCATCTTAAAGCACACAGGAGCTGTTCAAGACATCTCAAATTTATTAAAGCTTTATTTTGTTCTGAGCTTTGGGGGTCTGGAAACTGTCTTAGCTGTCACCAGTGAAGAGGTGGGCTACAGCCTTTGCAGATTGCCTGTCTATCACAGGACCAGAGCAGTCATGCACGTGATAAACAACCTGAGTTTGAGATCAAACTAAAACTGCCAATTAACCTGACATGCACACTTGCAGCTTCATGACAAAGCTTAAGTAACAAGGGAATAGCCATGGGCTTGTCATGAGATTGTTATGGTCTGATAACCTTGACAAAAAAAATGCCAGTTTCAAGATATGTAATGTAACATGTGGACTTATATTCAACAGTGGCATTTTGAATAGACGGTACACATACAGCTATTAAAAAAAAATAAATAAATAAATGAAGGGGGAAACTTGCACATAGAGATTTTAAATATTTATATTTTCTACAGTGCAAGCAGGACTCAGAAGACATTTTTAGCTCATCTGTCAGCAGTAGTTAGCTGAGAAAATTTAGAAGGAAATGGACATTTTGTCCTTTTTGCCAGATATAAGTTAACATCTCCTGATGTTAACTGTAAAATATTTCAACATTAGAAATGTTGAAATATATATATATATGTAAAAAAATATATATATATATATATATATATATATACATATATATATATATATATATATATATATATATATATATATAAAAATATATATATATATATATAAAATATATATATACATATATATATATATATATATTTTTTTTTTTTATTGTAATTCCATAATGATATCCTGACAATTTTAGAAAAATCACATTTTCATCACACAGCTGCTATAAATACAGACAAACAGGAGACAGATTGATAAGGCAGACTGGCATAAACACATTAGGATGCATGGAACTGGGGAATAGCTCGGAATTTCATGTCAGATGAAAATTGCTTTTGTCAGTCCAATGTCTCGCAGTATTCTTGAACAAGCATTCAGACATTTCCCGTTTTTCCATGACACCTATATGCTGTTCTTGTCCCCATCAGCTGGACAAGATGCTGTCAGAAATATGTCATGAATAATAAGTACTAAACATGTCACGTTTTTTTTTTTTTTTTTTTGGCTTAGAAAATATTTTTCCCTGCTGCCAATCAGTGCAAATCAACATCAGCTGGTCAATTGATTATATAAAAAGTTGTGGCATTATTAAGGCATGTTGTGTAAATTGTCTAGATCCAGCCCTAAAAGCTTCTTTGAGATCTTTTTAACCGTTTTGTTGTAAAATTTTCAAATGGTACTGGTTGCATTTCTAAACTTGAGACGCATTCCCAAAGATGAAAGAACACCATTTTAACATAAACCAGCCCTGGTCAGGATGATATTGCACATTTACTCATTTTCTCCTCTTTCTTTGTGTTATTTGTTAAAAACAAAACAAACAAAAAAAAAAGCTTTAAACACTGAAAAGAAACCTCAAGAAGACAAATCTTTATTCTTTCACAACAGATTTTATTGTGGCTGTCCTTTCATTTGTGGTTACTCTTACATAAGATTTGCCATAACAGGTACTGTAGAGGACAGATAGCACACAAATATCTGAAAGCACTAAGTAAACTAATTGCTATAGATTATACATGAGTGTGGGGAAAAGGCAGAAGGGATGCCAGAATCACAAGACAAACATATCACACAGCTGCAAACATTTTTAAACTTCTTCCGAGAGAAAGACGTGATGGGAGAAAAGGCAGATAGAGATTCAGAGAGAAAGAGAGAGAACTAGAGGAAGTGTAGGGAAGGAACCAGAGAACAGAGAAGAGAAATGTCAGTTCAGTTTGACAGTACGTTCGTGGTGATGTGGTGGTTTTGAGGTTCCCTTGCGGGAAAACCAGTCTGTGGTGGTATCATGAAAAGCTGACGTCATTTAAGAAATACCCAATGAGATTTCATTGGATAGCCCAAAATACCAGAGCATGTAATCAGGATGTGGTTGCTTAAATGTTCCTCCATATGCTGGCCTGTCAGAGTTGATTAGTGGCCAGAGTTACTGTAAGTTTGATGTGAGTCATGTTTGTTTTTTTAAAGTGTCTAGTGTTTGGTTTTACATACTTTTGTCAAAAAACACACAAGCCATTCACTCTCACTTCTGTGTGCTGCCTCCCTCGTGACCGAGATTCTTCAAGAAGTTGGTTTGTCGTCATTCTCACCCATGTTTTTTTTTGGCTGAGAATGAAAATGTATGACACATTGTGCCCTAAGTCATGTTTTCTGTTACTACAGTGCCACTGGCTTTTGTTGGAATTTGTGTGGAGTACATATGTCACTGAAAACTTGCAAAAATTGCTGATTGGGTGCATTTTTTTCCCTTTTCAAAATTAGTCTTTTGTTCTCTCATTGTAATTTCTTGTAGCTCTTAAAAGCAAGTGTGAGCAAAAACCTCATCAAAAGTAAGAAAAGTTCCAGTATAGCATAACTCATGCATGCCTCCCAACCACTCTATTGGCCACAAAGCTATTTATAATCATAGCACAATTTTGAAAAACAAGACATTGTAAGGATTATGAAAATATCCTGCTTTGCCGGCTTTACAATGGGAAAAGGCTTTAAAGCTCACTGATTACATAAAAAACACTTCTAAGAAATAAGATTTTTCTTGAATTAGCATAAAATCTGTAAGTAAAACAGATATTCCAAAATTAACACCATTCTTCTACATTTCTTTTACAGACAATGAAGTCTATAAAATGATTTTTCACACTGTAGAGTTTTCTGAACCTATTGATTGATGTGAAAATTAAATAGTCATAAACAAAAGTTTTAATTCACTGTTATAGCTCATTGCAAAACAAAAAGTTACATAAATAATAAAATTCAACTAACTTAAAAATTAAAGGAAAAAAAAATTTCTATCGGTAGCAGCAGTCATTATATTAATGATCATTAAACTCAAGCATCTCAGTCTATTATCATCATCATTTCCCTCTCTAGCTATTACCATTTAGTATTTATTGAGTCTTCAGAGTTGTTCATCCAATCAGGTCTTCTACATTCACTTTGACTCTCTAAGGCAGTTACAGAAAGACTTTTTCCTTCCATTTGGTGTGGGTGGAAACCACACCAAATGTGGTTTTCTCCCTAACCAAACGGAGCTTGTTAGAGTTAGAGCTTGCCAAAAAGCTCTAACTAAATATTACAGAGCTTTATGATAATACATCAGAATCAATAAATATTGACTAGAAGACTCAGAGGCCAACAAAAAAAAAAGTACCATCATTATGTGACTATATCAAAACCGGCAGGTCTGGACATTCAGGGGGTGCTGCTGGTTTATTTGGGTTTTCATCTCTTTGCTGTTTGATCCTATTATTAGGATCAAGCTGAAACATGAAGGCCCTAATCTTCTTCTTTTGGTAACATTAGTTAACGGTCATTACAGGTTTTCATTTCATTCAGTGGTTTTGTGTCAGTTCAAGGTTAGTGCTACATGAGTTTGGTTTTCTTTGAAAACAACACTCCTTTCTGGTGTTTACAATAAGGCTACAGCTCTATCTTACAAGCTGGGAAGGACTCATCTTGCATGACAACTGTGCTGCTGCTGGCCAGAACCATGATGTTCAGCTCCTGCTGCTTGTCGTGGGTCTCCTGGTACCACTCCCTCATCACATCTGTGTCATGGGTTGGAATTAGAGTGACCTTGAAGAAGCAAAGGGGAATTATTTGATGAGAGTGCATTTCTCCATCTGGTCAGTACAGTGATTGCAGGTTTAAAGGAATAGTGCATATTTCTGCCATGGGGTTGTGTGGAGTACTTTTGAGTTTTCAGTGACTGAAATGCAGTGGGCAGCATTTCAAACCTCAAAAGTGTTGTACTTGTTTGTCTTTATTGTGAAGTTACTCTGAGTATTATTAATCTCAGGGTGCCCAATTTATTAGCAAGTTTTTCATGAGACAAACCCATGAAAAACAGTCTCATTGTATGATAAGAAAATTTAAAAAATATTTATTGTGCAGGACAATGGCAAAACCAAGAAATATAAAACCACAAATTCAATGAATGTTTTTCAGTTTCATCTAAATCAATTATTCTACTTGGAATTTATAAAAAAAAATGTAATGTCAGGTTTTCCAATGTTACACCATAGGTATGATTCTGATTAATCTTAATTAGTCCAAGAAAATCCTTCTTCAAAAACAATTACGTTTTTTAAACGTAATTGTTTAAAAAACAATTGAACAAAAAAATTGATAATTTTTTTTCTTTTTACAGATTTAAGCACTGAATGTATTTACAAGCTCACTGGTTACTTAAAACTTACCTGAATGCCGTTTCCCCACTGGGATTTTCCTTCAAGTAAAGCATCCAGGACAGCTCTGCTGGGTTCCTGAGCTGATTGATTGTTGCCACTGACTACATAGTAAGAGGAGCGGACACGTTTAAAGAATTCAGCATCCACATTCTTGGCACTGCAGTGATTGGGAATGTAAACCAAATCCATGTACATAGGAGGGCAGTTGGACAGAGGCGGCACTTTCCCACTTCCAGTACCTGAAAAAGATTTTTTATTTTTATTTTTTTGGTCTTAATCAAAATTTCAACTGCATCAAATACTGTACATACGACAACACAAGCATAAAAGATGATCTTGATTAAAAGAATACACACCTAATGCAGAGCTTTTCACACCTTTGGATGCAGACGTATTGGTTGCATTTTTGACATCTTTTCCTTCTCCAGCACCCTTCTTTGGAGAAGCAGTCTTTGAGTCCTTAACCTTTGACAGACCACTCTTCCTGGCTGGCGATGAGGACATTTTTGATAGCTTTTTCTTTCTGGTCTTGTCTCCACCATCTGTATTCGCATTGTGAAGGTTTTCTTCAGCCTTTAGAGCTTCTGGATCCACCATACAAACATCATGATTACCTGAAGTTGGAGCAGAGTCCCTGAGTGTCAGTGGAGGTGGATCGGCATGCCTGTATGTCAGAGTTCTGTCACTGGGTAAAGTTTCAGAGTCATCTTCAGAGTCAATGTTTGCATCTGCTGTGATGGAAGGGCACTCTTCTGTTCCTGGAGGTACATCTGAGTCTGTCTGTGATGGGGCAGATTCACTGATGGATGTGGGTGGGGTGTCCTCACATTGCTTGGCGGACAGCTTACCTCCTGGTGGCGGGGGTCCACCACCTGACTTGGTCAGGGGTTTCTCCTCATCCAAGGCGTTTTCTTCATTAATAAAGTATTCTAGAGGGTTTGGGTTGATGAATGACGGTGACAACTCAGTCTTGGGGTGACGGTACTCACAAGATTTCACAAGGCAAAGATCAACATCTGTCTTGGATGGAGGACAGGGGCTCTTTTTAAGGGAGTCTGGTTCCCTAGAGCCACAGGGAGAATTGAAATCATAAGGCTCAAAGGAGAGAGGTAGCTCTGATGGTGAAGGAACTTTTGGACTTGTAGAGTTCTTTTCAAGTATAGAGTCATCACATTTGAATGGATTTGTTTCTGTTTTTGGGGAAACAGTGTCTCCTTTTGAAATATTGAAAGTTGTAGATGGGGATGAGACTTTGGGAGGTGATGGTGAGTTGTCAAGTTTCCCCTCTGAATCCAGTTTGGCTGTGGTTTCTGAGACTGGGCTTTTGCTTGTATTAGCTGGGGGACCTCCTAATATTGGGGAGGGTTCATTGGAATGGGGAGAAAGGGTGAGAGATGAGGCCTTTGGGGTGGATGGAGACTTATCTGTCTGCTCCACAGCAGCATGTAGGTTCTCTGTCATTTGACATGGAGTTGTAACAGAAGACTGAGATGCATCTGAAGGGGTTGCCGAAGTGGTGCGGGCTGAATCACCTCCTTCAAAAAGCAAAGGGTTTTCTACACATTTTGGTTCTCTAGATGCCTTTATCTCTGTTACATCTGAGGGACTGTAGTCCACTTCCGTTGGACCATTTTCTGTAGCATGAGAATTGCTGCCCAGTGACTGGTGCTCTGGAGATTGCTTACTGAAATCCAGGGCTAAGGAATGATCGGGTGACTCCTGGCCAAACTCTAAAGACATAGTGGAATGCTCTGGAGATTTTGTGTCCTGTGTCTGCACTTTGCTTTTAGTCTTGGGTGAGATTTCTGGGGAGATAGACATAGGCCTTGGACTGTCTTCCTTGGTTGGTGATCCCTCTGCCTCATGAAAGGTGGTTGGAGTCTGAACCACTGAGACAGACAAAGAGTCATCAACCTCGGTTGAGTGAGGTGAGCCTACCTCAGCATGCAGAGAAGGAGAACCAGTAGTCGGTTCTGGCAATGAACTAGTGGCCAGGGAAGCTGTGGATGCTGAGGCTAAGTGTGAAAATGTATCTTCTGCAACCACTTCTTCAAGGGGAGTTTCAGACTTATCTGATGTAGTGCCCTCTGAAATAGACATTTTACTCTCTTCTTTAAAAGTTGTAAAAGTCCCAGAGTCAGATTCATGTTTGTTTAGTGGTGCTGAGGACAGCAGTGAATGGCTGATCTCTTCCTGTTTCTTAGCTTCGGCATCGATGGGTGATGACTCCTGTGGGGATTCAGGCTCAGGTATGGATGGGCTTTGTGGAGCAGAATCAGTCCTACCTACTGGTGATGATTGTTCTACTACTGGATCATTAGGCTCAGGAGTAACTCTACTGTAGGAGTCTTCTTTATCACTTGTGATCTCCACAATAACTGGACCCTGTGAGCTGTCCTCTGGAAAAGGTGGTAGAGTTTCTACTTTCTCATCAACTGGTGACTGATAGTAAGGAGTGTGACCAGAGGACTGAGGCGAACTAGCTCCTTCCAAAGGTTTGTCATCAGGGCTCTTGTAGGAATCAGCTGCGGCTTGGGTGCAACTTGCCAGGGTGGATGACAGTTCTATTGGAGCAACCGTCATTGAAGAAGAATGAATGATGTTCTTAACTTCCACTGAGGGAGAACGAACAACAGGAGATGATGTGGATACCGAGCTAAGTTTTACTGAGTCATGCCTTTCATTTGACTCTTGATCAGTTGGAAATTTTTCAGCTTTTCCACCTGATGAAAGCTCTTCACAGAATTGATCTCCTTTTAGAGGTGAAGGGGGGGATACTGTTAAAGCAGAATGGTGATAGTCTTGGCCTTCTGTGACATCACTCTGAGAAAAACCTGTACCCGGTATATCTTGAAGTGGAGAAAGGTTCTTTTTCTCAAACTCTCCTGACTCTGATTTCCCAAACCTTTCAACATCCTGTGATGGAGATCCTGTATCATCATTGGGTGTTTCATCACTCAAAATGTCCCTGGGAGTCAACATCTCATCCATGGGAGTGGGCAAACTGGAGATTTCCATAGTGGACTGCGTGTAACCTGATGTAACTGTATACTCTTCTGCTGGTTCATCTCGATTCTCTTCATCTGAAGTTGTGAAGCTTTCAAAGCCAACAGGAGGGATTTCATCATGGGTACATGCTGCAGGAGAAACTGGGGAAGAAACTTTGGGTGAAGCTGATTCAAAGAGTTTTTGCTTCTCTCTTGTGTCAGGATTTAGATGCTCCTCTACTACATTTTTATTTGTGATATCATCATTGTCCTTCGCTTCATCTCTTTGTTCCAGTTCATCATGTTTGGCTTGGTGCTCATTTTGGTGGTTATTTTCATCTGATTCTGCTTCCTGTGGCTCATAAACCGCCTCTGTCTCTCCCTTCTCATCATAGTCTCCTCCCTCAGATGTCTCCTCCATAACAGTGCCCTCATCCTCAAACTTCTCACAAGCACTGCCATTGAGCTTGCCTTTCAGGACTTGCTCGTCTGGAGTCCCTCCACTGTCACCTTCTGCCTCTGTTGTTGTTATGCCCTCATCCACAGACTCTAGTCCTTCAGGTGACTCTTTGGTTTGTATCACTTGTTCGTTTTGGGCCATCAAAGCCACTTTCTCCCCATCTTGCTGTACAGTTGCATCATCCTCAACAAACTCTTCAGCTCTAAGTTCCTCAAAGTCTTTTGTGAGGTCTTCTGGGGAGGACATCAGAAACCTTTCTTCCTCTGGGTCTTCTGCAACAATGGCAGTACTTGCTGCTGGTTTGTTTTCTACCTTTGTTTCTTTTTTTATCACCTTTGACTTTCCTTTATCTTTTAACTTTGATGCAGCTCCCAGATCTCTCTTTGAAGAGTCATCCTTTTTCAGTGGTTTTGGTTTTAGATTTTTTTCCTCACCTGCATTGGAAGTCTTTTTAACATCTTTGGAGAGTCTTTTTGCATCTTTCTTTAGTTCCTTCTTTTCTTCCTTCTTCTCCTTCATTGGAGAATCTCTTCTTGTATCCTTTTTTAAAACTTTCTTTGCCTCGTCCTTCTTTATTTTTTCTTCCTTTTTAGCTTCATCCTTCCTTGCTACTTCTTTTTTAAACTCTTTTTTCTTTTCTGCTGATGGTTTGGCTTCCTTTTTAATTTTTTCCATTTTGGACTTTGCTTCAGATTTTTTTTCGGGAGTTTCATTTTGTCCAGTTTGATCTGCATTTGCTTTTGGTTCTTTCTCCTGTGGCTTTGCCTTTTCTTTTTTCAAGGGGACCTTTTCCTTTTTATCTAACTTCAGTGTTTTCTCAGGAGTTGATTCTGTGTCTGTCTTTGCCTTCTCTGGTGTTTCCTCCTTTGAAATCTTTCGCATGGCTTTGCTTGGTGATGGCTTTGGGGTAGACTTTAGGCTCTCTTTACTGTCTGTTCTGTGTTTCATCTTTGCTTGCTTCAGCGTTGGTGTGGATGGAGTACTGGAAGGCATAGTTTTTTGAGTGACAACTGGCTGCTTCAAGAACTCTAAATGCTTTAGCTTCTCTAAGCCTTCAAATATTTGGTCCTGGATGGCATTTCCAGGAAATAGAACCCGTACAACCTTATCGGAGGGATTTGCGGGATGCCACACAATGAGTGAAGAGATTGAAGTTAAGTAGGAAAGAGGGAATTCAGACTCTTTTCCATTTGGTAGAAGAATGGAGGTAGTGTCGTTTTCACTTCCTGTCCACTGCTTCATAAAGTGCTGCATCTCCTTGCTGTTTTTTGAAGGATTGAGCACATACATTTCAAGCCTTCCAACACCCATTTTCTGAAAAAGTGTGATAGGTTCTATAGCGTTTCCTACAGGCTTCTGCAAAGGCTCGATCCTTAAATTTAGCTTGTTGAGGAACACCTGGGTGAATGCTGCCTCCTCAACATTCCTACACACTTTGTAATCAGGTTCAGGGTTTTCCAGGTTCTCGGGAAAATTCACAAAGACAACGCCAATATCTGGAGAAATCATATTCTTCACCCAGTCACTGTTAGCTGTCGAACCCTGCGATTGCTCCTCCTCAAGCTCTGCAATTTTCCGCTGCAGCATACTGTTGATGCCTGGCAAATTGTCTTCACCAATATGAGTCAAGAGGATGGAGTCCACCCGATCTAGATGTCTCACCAGCTTCCAAAAGCACGACCTCCTGTCGGAGCCACCGTTAATGAGCATGTTGAAGCCATTTACAGCAAAGAGAGCAGAGTCTCCTCGACCACCGGGGAAAATATAGCAGCATGGCTTAGAAAGTTTCAGAAATCCACCTGAGGTTGGGGGCTCCAACATGTCAAAAGGAGAAGGGATCTCTACTGATTCTGATAAATACTCTGTGAACTCTGAGAGACCCTCCATTTCTGGGAGGATGAGAGCCGAGTTTAGTTTCATGTTGATGAAGTCCTGTAGGTTGTGTTTGTCCAAGTTGGAGTTTTTCCAATCTCCTTGTTCGGGGCAAGAGAGTGTGAGGTTGGCTTTGTTTGCTGGGGGGATAGTACTGAGTAATTCACCAATCTGTGCAAAGGAAAGAAATAAATGGAGTTTTATTTTTGAACAAGAAATAAATCCACATTGTATCTTAGAGACACTACATATCTTAAAACAGAGACACTACATATCTTTTTCACAACATTTGAATTTAGACTACGTCTGATCCTCCAACCATCATCTATAGTTTTATAATTATAATGCTACTGTTAGCAGAGTATGGCTGTAAAGATTTTTGGTGATGTTTGGAAAGTGTAGTGATCAGTTTTACTGTCGAGCTACCGTACCTGGTTCCTGACTTACTCACCTCTTGATCAGTAAATATATCTATGAAATTGCAGAAAGAGAAAGATCCAGACTGAAGAATCAGTTCCCCCGTTTTTTCTGAGCACTGCCCTGAGAGGACCAGTAGCTTGTGTCTGGCTGTGTCAGAGATCATTAAGCGAGCCTGCAAATTGAAAGAGAGAGAAAGCAAAAATAACAGCTGTAGTGATAGGAATACACGTGGGGGAGGAAAAAGATAAATTACAACATCTTCAAGTGCCTTAGCAACAATGGATTTCCACTTACTTTTTTAGAAAGACAAGTGGTGACACACGCAAGCATAACATTAATGCAAAGCCAGATTGTTGCAGCAATCAGCTTAGTGGTGAGGTTTGTATTAGACACCACCAGTTATGTGTAAGTCAGATCCATTAGCTAATTAGCTGACACAATCTCTCACTGTCCACTCACACTGTATCTGCTTTCCCCTCCCTCCTTGTATTTTGCTCCACCTCAGCAGCATTAGCCACTCTGGCGACAGGCTCAGTGATTCTTGCAGTGCTGTCGCATATTATTAATGCACATTAAATTATAGCCATAGATGAGGGGCTGGCGGCGCCAGTTAGAGTAATGACACAAAACAAACTCTTGTTGGGCCTCTGCTCCTGATTGAAGTGCTAAGAACCAAAAACATACATAAGCTGAATAGTGAAACATTAATCCTCCCTGTAGGTTTATTTCCTCCCGACTTTTTCATATCTTTTTCATTAACTACTAGAGCAATCATTCTTGTCGCACTGTAAATCGTCTGTGAACGTCTTAATGAACAAAACAATAGGAAGTCAAGCTAATTATGTGATTGTTTTTTAAAGAAAAAAAGACAACAGAAGAAGATATAAGGAAATGAGACAATGCCAGCAGCGGATTTGGTTCATTTTACCTCGGTGCTGACGGCTTCATCTGAAGGGTTAATGAGCACAACCGTCTCGAGGATGTTACTTTTATGGTGAAGAATTCGTTGCCCTGAAAAGAACCAAATGAAATATAATCAGTGAAGACTTGGGCTATGTGCATTTGCTTCCTAAGAGATTCATTTTCTGCGTTTTTGTTGATGTTTCAGATAATCCGTCAAATGCTAACATGAGCAAATGACACATTATACGAAGTGAAAAAAATATTCTTCTTGGATTCCCATGCATCATCCACAGTTTGTTCCTAGGGCCGCCGTTTTGGTCCAGTTCTCTTTCTATTTCATGAACACTTGCCTTAGCTGTAGCAAGTGAGGCCTGCAGTCCTTTTAATGTTCTGGTTTCTTTTTTGACCTCCTGTATGAGTCATTGGCTTTGGACTAATTTTTGTAGGCCTGATACATTTTTAGAACGATGCTTTACATTCCCGTATTTTCTGTAAACCGGAATAATGGTTCACTTTGGTTCTCTGGAGTCCTTAAGAATAATTTGCAACGTTTTCCAGCAGATTAAATGTCAATATTTGTCATCTATTTTTTTGTTGTGATATTTTTTTTTTGCCTACTTCATGTTGTCAGACTCGTGCTACTTTAGAGATTTCTTGATCACAAAAACAGTTGTTTGTTCACTCAAGTTATCTTTGCCTGGTTATAGTATTTGTTTGATGCTTCCTATTATGGGAGATGCACTTTAACCTTTAAGTCATGTAAATAGCATTCAACATCTTGACTTTTTGTACTTTTGGCTTGATAATTTAAGCAAACATTTTGGCGATTAAACAAGAAAATAATCATGATTTGGTTGGTTTCAGAATCATTATGAACAAACAAAAAGCCTTTCAAAGTCACACTGAACTTAGTTATTGTGTGTAGGAGCTGTGCCCAAGTCAGTTTATCATCTAATTTATCAACGGTGGATGTCCTGACAGCAACAATGTGACTGTGCAAATGTTAACAGCCTCTGCAGTGTGAAGCAAGATGGATGAGATCTCTGAAGGGGGGAAGGACAACACATTCCTTAATATGAGTTCTTGACATTAAAAACTGTCTCAAGATTAGATTTCTCTTTATTGGAAATAGGTGGCAAAAAAAGAGAACACAATTTCAACAATTTGTCTCGTTTTAATGATTTAATTTTAAACATCAATATAGTTTTACCTTTAGGGATTATCAAACATTTCTTTTCACATAGCAAATCTGTCAATCTGGACAACTATCGGACAAAAAGTGAAAGGCTCTCAATCACCTCTGGTTCTTGGTGATTGATTTTGATAATCAATGTGTTGATTAGGGGTCAGTGGGGGTGGCTGGAAACAGTTCCTAGTGAGCCTTTACTGAATCAATCCCACATCTCTCTTTGTATGTTTGAACTCACAGATCAAGCATACAAAATAAAAACAATGGCTTTTACCAACAAATTATGATAGAATGAATGGAAGTGATTGTAATACTTTTACTCTTTATATTGGCCATTATAACTGATGCAACATAGGGAATGTTTAGTTTAATGTCAGACTATGAGAATTACAAAAGTAACTTTATATTCAATGTATGTAAAGATCTGTTTTCAACTATATATATATATATTTGCTTTTCAAAGACTATACCAGAAGTTTAAGCTGGACTAGAAATAGGTTGGCAAGCTATGCGACCACAATCAGTGTTTGGGAAATTAATAGAAATATTTTTGGGTGTGGTTGGTGCTCAGCAATACCAAAGAGCCAAATGTGAGTGTATCATATTTGCATCAGTGTGATGAAAGTTTCATCTCAGCTGGAGTAAAGTGTCGGGTCGACCAGGACCGCTGTGACTTGTTCTGAGAAAGTAGCTGTCCAAACTGATGATCCGAGCTCTTCTGAGAACAGACGAGAACAATCTCTTGACAGTGTAAGTGAAATAGGAGAATAAGCAATCTCCCCAGTCTAATTTTCATCCCACTCATGCGTCTATACCCTAGCAATATATAAATCTGTGATCGATAATGTATTTATAAGGAGCGCCTCATTTCCCGATGCCTCTCGCTGTTAGTTCTGCTCCAGCTACTGGTATGGAACATAAAACACAGAAACCCTTAAATAACTTGCCACCAGGCAGCCGACCATCACTGTTAGTCTGAGCCACTTCATCAGAAATGACAGATTCTGCCATGAAGCTCGTTTGACTCTGCCATTACTTTGATCAAAATAAAAACATCCAGAGAGACTCTATCTCAGCAGGAGTTAAGGTAATGTGACATGCATCGCCAAGCATTCTCCTTCCGGCTGAATAGAAAATGTGAGGCTGGCACAGCGATCCCACTCCGGACTGAACCGGATGGGAACATTGATCAGGATGGCACCACAACAAAAAAATAAAACCAATTCTTACAACAGCTTAATATCTACTGCTTCTATTTGACTTTTTTATACATTTCAGAATGGTAAAGGAAGTTCATCATTACATCCACTTAGAGTCATCTGGTTTTTCTTTGGCTTTATCCCAATGGACTTTCAGTATCACTTGTTCCTGTGTCCCCAAACAACCGGGTTAAAAACGAGAACCAGCACATCTAACACGGCCAGTTCATGAAGATAATGGCACCGCTGCTGCTTTTGAGTGGCCTGACTTACTGATCAATCAATCCACTGCACCATGTTATTGAAGCCGATCGAGAGCATCTCGAGCAGTCATTGTCGTTTGGTGTGAACTCATTATATCCTCAATATTCTGGGGAGATTGTTTTATATCCTATCCAACCCTTTCAGAAAAAGAAAAAGAAATAAAAAAAATCTAATTTTTGTTTTCCATTATCTGGCCACAGATCCACAAGCAATTTTCATATTCTTTTATGACCTATTTTCAAACTAACTAATTAGAACTAAAAATGCTTTACTCTAAAATCCCAGAGGCAAGCAAGCATCCTTAATGGAGTTGAGGTATAAAGACGACGCTGAGGTTTCATTATTTTCTCCACCTAAAGCACAGGGCTGGGAAATCTATAGCTGAAGCATTTAATATCCAGAAGGAGGAGACTGAGGGGCTCCTGGTAAGGGTCAAGGCTTCCTGCACACACTGTAATGGATGCTCTGTCCTCCGTCAGGCTGATGGATGGTTGCAGCTGATCCCAGGGTTCTTCTAAATACTATTCCCATATCAGTGAAGGTGCTTAAAGCTATACGACTGCTGAAAAGTAGGAAGATATTAAATAAAATTATTGAGCTTTTTTTTTTCTTTTTTGGAGTTAATTGCTTTTCTTCAGATGACTATGAATGAGGGATGCAGAGGTTGCTTGGAGATTATTTGGTTGACATTTTGGGATAAGCAGATATACACTTAGGCTTTTAGATTGATGAGAAGCTGCTTCCGAAAAGGTTATTATGGATTATGCTAATTTATTTAAAAACCACTGTGATTAATGTTTTTGTTTTGTCCAACAACCTCTTTCTTGTGGAATACACAGCACCCTCCAAGCCTATCAGCAGCCAAAAATCATAAGATAAAACGTCTCACACTGATTTATTTTAGAAGATTACAGCAAAGAGTTGCATCTTGCTGGGGTTTCACTCAGTCGCCATAGCAATAAGTTACAAACTAAATGTATCTTAGCTTGTAAGATACAAGCTCTCATTCTTTAAACTAGAGAATGAGAGCATTTTTCTAAGTTCTCATAGGCATGAAGTATAACAGAGAATATTTTTGCACCATTTTTTGCAATAAAATATAACCTTGTTTTGAGCCGTTAAGCTATATTATTATTGCATGCAATCACAACTGACTCAAGTGGCAAAAATCTCCTTCTGTAATTCTCAGAACAAAGCAAATTTTAAACAAAAGGTTTTTGGTTATTTGCACAAATTTCCTGTTGAGGATGGACTAAGAACATGATTTAATCATTTTAGAGTTTAGTTCAAATTCAATTTGAGAAAAGATTTGAATTTACACAGTGAACAAAACAGGAAAATATATTAATCCGACTTTTACTCTTAGACAGCTACGGGTGAAAAAGCCATTGCTTCTTTATGAGATTTTAATCTGCCATTTTGTCTTCATCTTTCCCCCTAATCTTTTGCATTTTATCCCCCTTGCAGTCACCTCCCCCTGGTACCCTGCTTGCCTCTTCTCTCGCTTTTACATCCTCCCCCTCCCTCCTTTATGTTCACGGACAGACCCTCGCCACTGGGGATCCCACGCTGCTAATTACTCCCAAATCAACTGTGCATCCAGGCAACAGCACATCGGGAGAAAAACGGAGAGCAAGGAATGGAGGATGGGATGGGGAAAACTGGAGCGCCTCTAAACTTCATTTTAGATTGAGTTCTGCATTAGGTGTAGTCTAGTTATATTTCAGGACAAAATAGAACTGGTCCTTTCATCTGCTGCGTTTGTTGGCCGGATGAGTGTAGTTCGCGTCCAAGGAAGTGTTAAATCCTGCTGGTGAAGCAGAGCCAGACAGAGGCTTTCATTGCCACGGGGGTCAAGGCCATGTTACACACTGACAGACCACATGTCTGGGTTGGTTTAATGGAGCTGCTCTGTCTTTACAGTGACTATTTCATTTTTACTCAGCAAAGGGTGGAGACGTTAAAGCACGACATCACAAAAAGTTGAGAGGGATAATTGGGGTGAAGGTTGGTTCTGTTTCTAGCTGAAACAGAAGCATGAAAGGATGAGAAATTAGCTGTTTTGGATACTTTTATGGCATAGGGGTTCTCAACCTTGTGTCACTGGTCTTTAATTCAAAATATATTATCATTAGCACAACTACAATCAGCTGATAATGTGCCTTTTTTGTGCTGAAAGCTCTGTGTTCTGACAGTGTCCCTCGACCACGCCCTTTCTCAGACAGACCTCAGTTACACAGAAAAGACAAGCCAATGACGTCTATCAGTTGTTGTTTTTTTTTTGCTTTTCTGTCTAAGCCACTTAAGATTTAAAAAAAAGACCTAAATCCACATAATAGGTTTGCCAAGATGTCTTTGCAATCGTTTTATTAAGACGCCAGAGAGTTTATCACCATCGCTTGGAAAGATATGTGCCCATAAGTTATTGTGTTACTGTGCCAAGACATACATAAGCAGACCGAAAGGTAATGACTAAAATGTGGGTCACTAAAGGAGGAGCTTTAGACTGAACAGAGGAAATAACAGCTGCATTTTGCTTTGTAGTGATCTGAAGAGCTACCCCTGCAGCATTCAGCAGCAACGGGCGTGGCTGATCAGCCTCTCGAATTCACCTTGTAGAAAAAAGACAAAAATCCTAGATATGCTAAATTTTCTCCCATCCATCTCATGATAGTCTGTACAACTGTAAACTACACAACAGATTTTATTGCAAAATTGAAGTTTTAAACAGTTCAGTGAATATTGTTGCTTTTATGATCTGGATTTACAATTTTTAATGTGTAGAAATTGTGAGTTTTTTTATTTCCAGTCAAACAAACTCTCTGTCCAAAACGAAAGAAAAAAATATTGACGGATATAATGTTGAAGTTATTCATCCTCTTGGCAGATAGAGATGTTTTTTTATTCAACCTAAAACAAAAACTGTTTTATAATTACATTTTATTAAAAATAAATATGCTGAAAATTGTTTATTATTCATTTAATTCCCTTGTCAATAATCAACAGGCTTCCTACGAAGATTCTCGTTCAAGTTCATTTTTATACTGCCTAAATCATCCCGAAAAGTTCACATTATTTACAATCTAAATAAAAATGTGGGTCAAATTAAAAGACTATATTAAACTTTAATTAGCGTGTGATGTGAATGATTTTCAAGTTATCTATAAATTGGAAAAGCTACAAGGACTGCATTAATTACCATTTTTAATTTAGTAAGATTTCAGGTCCAAGATATTTTCAAAGACGTGTTATTTTGGACTCATTCATTACGTTCTTAGATTAAGAATACAGAAACCCTACCTTCCTTGATACAAATCAAAATCTACAGCAATCGATTTCTCTAAGAGGACAAATGGACACAAACCCTGCCAGTAAAATGCCGCCCACAGAGCCAGCATTTCCCCACACAGTAGGGCAAGATTGGGATTCCCATCTTTTCCCTTTAATCTGTCTCCCATCTGTGCAGGAAGCTGAGTTGCACGTGTGAAATTATACCAGCACACACCGAATTTTAGCTCCAGTTTACCTTTGACGTCTGCGGAGAATCGAGCCGAGTGTCTGGAGACAAAGAGCTTGAGCTCCTGGTCCAGGTTGCAGTCAATGAGGTTGGTGTCCCATGAACGGATCCCTGGAACACACATACAGAAATGTACCTCCTGCATAAGAATCGTTCAGATCACACAGCATGTATAACACTTAGAAACCTCTCCACCCACACGTCTATGCTGTTGATCCTCTGCTTCCGGTTCATTGGAAAATCTTGGAGCGATCGTGTCTAGACTTGCTACAGATTTGGCACGAGCAAAGGGATCCATAGTGGGAAATATCTATAATGCTTTTTGTGCTTTGCCCCAAGGCCAAAGGCGATGATGGCCTCAGTTCTGATGAATCATAGTATCATCCAATCTACACTACTGTATATATGAAACAGTTGCTGCCAAAGAAAAATCCATCCTACTGGTGGGATGTTAGAGAAAAAGTTGATTGTACCATGTTGGTAAAAACAGATTTCAAGAGCTTATTACTATTTCAGAGTCATTTTCTATCTTCATTGCAAATTAATTCTTAATTTCCAGTTTTATTGCTTAACTTATAATTGTTTGTTTTTTTAAGTGAATAGATTATGCCTTGCGATGACCTCATGATTAAAAAAAAATAAATCAAAAAATATGTTTTGGGAACCCGGATGGCCAATTCGTTTGAGGAATGAGGCTCTGTTTCAACTATAGTTTGTTGGAACACAATGATAACGTGGTTAAATGTGAAAAACAACATAACTTTAACACAGGAGTAATTACACTGATGAAACACATGGTAAGAATTTAACCAGTTAAATTGATATTTGTTTATTGATCAATATTCATGGATGTCCTTTAATATCTGAAATAAACACAGGCCTCTTCCTTAACATCACATAGCTGGGCAGTAGAATAATTAAGACTTAAAAACCTAGCTTGCTAGCAAATTTAACGTTAGCATCAGCATTGTCGCTAAGCTAACTAAAGCTGAAGAGCAAAGAACCAAATTCACAAACTGGGATGCATTATTAAAAGTTCAATCATTTAAATATCCAATATTAAATACAGTCCAAAATTCATTTTTATGGTGCACACAATTTTTTTCACTCTAATTTACCAAGGCCAAGAATCAATGTTTACAATCAACATGACCAGAACATAGAAATTTAAGGCTACAGGCTGTACAAAAAAAAAACAAAAACAAAAAAAAACAAAACAAAAAAACAAAAAAAATCCCTGTTCCTTATGAAGAAGCATAATCAGAATTTTAAGTTAATAAGAAAGTCAGGATGTCTTTTATAGAAAACTCTGTTATGGTGTTAGTGTATAAGAAGAACTTGATGAGTTGCCATATTCTTCTCTTCCTACTCCCCTTCAACACAACACAATGCACTCTGATCCAGAAGGCAGGCCTCGGCAGTAACTGTATTAAAATCATAATAAAAATAAATAAAAAATACCAGCCCCACTCAGCCCAAAGATGGGTCCTCATGGCTATCCGTAGGGACCGCAGTGCGGACTGAGCCACGCCCACAAGCCGGTGTGGGGATGAGAGAGCTGGATGCGGGATAAGGATGATGATGATGATGATGATGATGATGATGATGATGATGATGATGATGACGACGACGACGATGATGGAAACATGCTCCCGCATGATGCACGAGAGATGATTAGAAATCAGATCAGTCTGAGGACACAAAGCGTAACGCAAACTCCGAGCACAAAATGAGCGGCCACATGCCCCCACCGCCACCACCCTGCTGTCTGCTCTCAACTGTGGAGTGAGGAACAAAAGCCCACGCATCTGCAAAGAGCCCGAATAAGGGGACAAAATCGCAGCTGCGCTGGACTTGCAGCGGTGTGTGATGCGCTGCTTTCTGACGCAATGTCCAGATATGGACCTGAATCATTATCATCAGCATGTCTCCAATGCGTGGATGACAACAACCAGGCCGAGAGGGGTACAAAGGAAACCCTACTGATGCAAACCGCTCAGATCCGATAAGGTGGAGCGCTGGTATATTGAATAAAATCATCTTTAGATCAAACCCTATGAGAAGTGGGAGAGGGTCTTTACATCTGAGTAATTTGCGCCGTGAGTAAAGTCCTGCAAAGCAAACAGATGGGAGGGGAAATGTCAAGTCATGAGCTCCACCTCACCTTTCTCTATGTCCGCAATGGCACACTTGAGGTGGTCCTCTGATATGATCTCCCCGATGACCACCAGCAGGTAAAACTTGCTGTCGTTGAAGTGCTGTGAGGGGCTGGAGGACGTCGGAGAAGCCCCGCTGGTGTTGCTCTGGGCGCCCAAGGTCTCCATTTCTGCACATTCTACTAACGTGGCCATCCTTCTCCTTTCTGTTTTCTATACGTGTCTGCGCTTTTCCTATGGATCCCACCAGCAGCCTGCCTGCCCCCTCCCCTCTGTCTTTTTTTTTAAATATATTTTTTATCTTAGCCTGCTCCTCGCCAAAGAGCCAGACATGCGAGTGGAGCGCTGATAGGAGTGGCTCCAGCTTTTTATACCGGCAGATACTGTGTCATGCTCAGTAACCCGGGAGAGAAGAGGGCGCCGGGGCTTTTTCTTTTTCTTTTTTCTTTTTTTTTTTTTTTGCACACTCACTCCACAGCTGATGTCATGCGCGACGAATCAAATGCCGCCGGAAGTCAGCGAGATGATGGTTTTCGCATATTCACCGTGGAGCTGGAGATATCATTTGTCCCTCGCACACTAACATTTGACTGGCAGAAGACAACAACAAACAAAGAAATGATTAAAAAATAAAAACAAAAAACTTCTCCAACAAAAAGCGCCATCAAAGAAACAAAGAAAGCAAAGTTAAGACCGGAAAGACTTCTGTTCAGCAGCTACACTTTGACATGTGTATCATTTTATAACTTTTTAAATCATAACAGATAAGAACAATATGTGTATGGAAAAAAAATCTCCAAGTTAAATCAAGATGATTTTATAAGCAGTTACTTTGAAAAAGTAACTTTAATCAGATTACTGACAACTCCTTGAAAAAATAACGTAGGTTACTGGTTACTTGATTTGGAAAGTAACTAAGTTACAATAAAAGTAACTTTTTAGTTACTTTCAGCAGCTGCTAACAACAACGCTCTGCCACCTGTAAAAATTATCAACATCATATTTCCACTTATCAGGTTGAACTGAAGGGGAAATTGTTTAATGGTTACAACAGTACAAAAGAAAAAGTTCGTAATTTGTGAGTTTTTGTGTGGTCCAGTGTTGTCTGGAAAACTCTAACAAGGATTTTAGGTCTAGAAGAAAAGGAAAAAAGAAAAATGGCATGAAAAAAGCCCAGAACTACAAACCACAAACTTCAAACTATTTCTGTTAATCAGCTCTGACCAGCATGATGCTGCCACTACAATTTGGGGGCCTCATGCTTAGGTAATAGAGTTACTTTTCTAAGGATATAGACCGAAAACTTCAATTCTGGTAAATTCTGAGCACTTTATAAATGCCAGATTTGCAAAGTGTGCAGCTAACAGTTATACCTTCCACAGCGTTTCCCACTGGGGCTGCAGAAGAAGTGATCTCTGATATCCATGATGCTGAATGAAAAAGCTCACCATGAAGATTCTGTTTACCAAAATACTTATGAAAATCAGAAGAATTCATAACTATGCATTACATTGTGTTGTTTTTTCTTAAAACATAAAAGGCAGAAATTGCAAAAATGTTCAAGGGGCACGTTGATTTTTCCACAGTTACTTAAAATATTCTATTCTATTAGATGTCCTGAATAATGATATTTCCTTTTGTTATATGATGTAATGCAGAGAGACATGCGGCATTGTGCTTCAGCACCCCAGTCTAACAGGGAGTTTGGAGAGATTCTCTTTGATTGTAGAAAGCTTCCTCCCAGCACACAACAAGTGTTTATATGAAAGAAACATCTGATCAGAGAGAAGGTTAAAGACGGGCAACTACAATGAATTGCAAATGAAAAGCACTGAGATCACAGGCTTCTCCTCTGTCGCGTTTCATTAGACAGGAAGTGTGTCTGTGTCTGTGTGTTTCTCTGTCTGTAGATGGTAAAAGCAGTGAAATCATTGCCTTTGATAAGAGTGTTAAAAGTTTCCCAGTTTTCCCCAGAGGAGAATGGAAGAGCACTGAAAAAAAACAAAACACTCCTCGCAGTGTAATAACCACAACTGTCATCGTAGTTTCTTGGAAAAAATTAAATAATGATAATAGTCACAGTATAGGATGAAATCTGAGCGAAATGAAAATGATTTATTTTTTCAACACTTTTAAGAAATAAAAACTACGATAAATAAGTACAAAAATAAAATAATATAGTATTTAAACTGTGGCAAGCACTACAATTCAGCCCCCTGCACTCTGATACCTCACATTTCAGTTGAACCAATTACCACCCACATAGTAAATCCAGCTGTTTTGTGAAGGCCATAGAGCTTTATGGTAAAGCAATTGAAGACAAGCAGCATCAGAAAGACCAATACAGCGTTCCTTTACAGCAGGGAAAGGCAGTATAACAATATCCTAATGTCTGAACGCTGAAGAAAAGGCATTAGAAGAAGTCCTGTTTAAACTGTACACAACCTATTTTGAAGACAGTGTGGAAAAAGGAGTTCCAGTCAGATGAAACAGTCATCCTGAGCACATCATCCACCATCCAGACTCATGAGTGGCACTGATGCTCATGGCATCCTCATAGAGGGAAAATGGTCTGAGTTGATGGGAAGATGGTCTACCCTACAGCAGCATTGCCCAGGTCGATGTTGTTTGTGAGAATGAATTCTCAAAATGTCACTAAATGTCAAACTAAACATACAGCTGGAGCTACTGTGAAAGGTCTCGATCAAATCACTTTCATGTGCCAGTCAAAGTCTTACAAAGTCTTACCTGGCAACGCTGGTGTGCAGCAGCTCTTATTTGTGGTAATAAGTGTACATGTATCCCTTTCTTTCTACTTTAAAAGTCACAAGTTTGTGTTGGTCTATCACATAAAACCCAGCTAAAATATAATAAAGTTTTCTGGAACGTGACATGTGGTTTAGTATTCATCTTGTTGTCACACAGACAACTGTCTCTTCTCCATCAACCTTAGAAATGAGAATGGTTAATGGGGAGTTTGTCTCTGAAAAATCAGCAGCTTTTGAGTCTTCCTGCAGAGCAAACCAGGGATGCTCGACGGGACTGGGAATTATCAGGAGGAATCAATGCCTTAGGCATCTTTAGCTGTGCACAGGTTTTGCACAATGGAGGGCTACATAATCCTGCTGGGGGGAGTCTTGCAGTGTTCAGGGGTTGTGGTCGGTCTCGGTAATATTGATGTTGATGTTAAAGTAACAAGATCAATGTATTTGCAGAAAATCATAACCGATGAGTAGGCATAATCATACGTGCAAAGATGTCCACATGAATCTTGATTTTTTTTTTTCTTACATTTTCTTTGGTCCTTTGTGTTGTGACAGAATACAGATGGGGGGTTCACTGCTGGTGTGTTATTGACTTCGCAGTGCAGGCTGCTGAATGTGAATATTTCACAGCCTGTGTGGCCTGGTGGGCTGAGGTTGCTCTCAGTCTCCCAAGGCCACGGGGGTTGTATAAAGCATTTATTACAGACTTCTGGAAAATGAGGAGACATTAAAAATACAACAAGGTGCCACCGGTAGTCTCTAAGACAGAAGCAGGAATGAGGCGGATGTGTGTGGATGGGGGCTGAGGAGTGTTGTTGATTTTGGGTCAATGGTTGATAGACTGAACAGTGAGGGTTTTGCTTACACATGTGCGTTGGCTCAGAGGCACAATGTCTTAAAACTGAAATGGATGGATTTTAATAATTCAAAACAGCTCAAAGTCTGTTGGATCCATCAAAAAACATCAACCAAAGCACTTCTTTAGTTCTCTGCCCTGTTCAGTTTACAGTATAATGTGCTGAGTGAGTCAGGGACACAGAGAAATTCAATACACCAGCAACATCTTTGAGAAAATCTGTATAAACCTTACAATCAACTCAGTTCAAGCCATTTAGATGAATGCATTCAGCAGTTTAATACCTCCCACTTTTCTTTTCTTTTTTTAACATAGATTACTAATATTTCATTAATTTTTTTACATGCAGTCCCCTACTTTAGAAACATCACTACTGAGAGTAATGTTTGACCCAACTCATCCTGCCAGCTAACTTTGCCACATGTTGGAGTTTTTAAAAATATCCTTTATTACGAGTGCAAAGGGAGATTAAAGTGTACTTCATGAATCAATTTGAGTCTCTGAAGTATGTGTCACTTCTTCTAAACATCTGCTTTGTACATGTCAAGAGTATTTTAATGAAAGGGTGGTTGGAGTCTTATGTTTACTGGTTTTTCAAGTACATAATGAACATCTCATATCAGGGAATGATCAGTGTATCAGATTATTAGCTGAATTTATCAAAAGATAACAGCTGTTGCAGCTTCTTAACTCATTAGGAATACTGAGGAGAGTGGATCTTCATTAGTGCAGACAGAACATTGGCAGAGCACAGAATGAAATTGAAAAAAAATATTTTTTTTGCTGCAACAATTGCGGCGCCCTTGCGTAAATTATGCGGCCGTCATGACTATGTAGGATTCCGTGGGGAGTTTTCAGCAAGGAAGGGGGCTGGTGGCGATCTCCAGTGGTAACTATGAGAAGTGCACTGCTAGCAGGTTGCCGCTCCATCAGCAACAGCAACCCAACCCCATCTCATCAGAAACAGGCAACACAGAGACAAACTCCCGTAGAGAGACGGATATCAACTGTCTCCGTCTTTTAAAACCATGAAGTATGATGTTAAAGTGTTCTTTACCAAAAGCAATGTACCTTTTTCTCATTTCTGTACCTTTGAAATGCAGGGCAAATGTGCAACACAACAACGAACAAGTAAAGTTGGGACAACTTGGTTACACAGGTTTAATGGAGGGTCTTCAGAGTTATTGCTATTTTTATAATTTTGCAATGCTTTGGCTCTTATGTATTTGGATAAACAAAAATGTCTGACTAGTTGAGAGATATGTGAAAACCTAATTTAGGATATTTTACAAGCAGCTTTGACATGTATTCAACACATCATTAAAATATCAAAACCATTCTTCTATTTGTCTTTTTTAATACAATGTTTGGAAGCCTATCCTCAGGCTAATGCACTGAATGATTTACAAATGCCAGGCAGAAAAAAAAAAAAGTCTGACCTGCTTTACTAGACGTGCTGCACAAAGACAAGCTAACTGCACAGTTAACAGTGTGTGTGTGTTTCTGTGTGTGTGTGGGTGGGTGAACCAGCTCAACCTTGTTCTATTTGTGATTGTCGACTGCTGTGCAGGAAGACACTGGCTGCCTTTCAGACTGCTTCAGCCAACACATTTCTGCTCCATTGCTTCTTGGATTTAGTTTAAACTTAAACGCCTCAGAATCTGTTTGTCTTACTTTTCAAAGTGCAGACAGAGAGCTGCGTGTTCTTGGGTCTTAGACATTTTGATAGGAGCAAACATTTTCCTTATGACATTTAAACATCTTGTCAGCCCATTAGCACAAAATGCTTTCCTCCACTTACAACTCAACTCACTTCTTAAT